TTCTTCTGAAATCCAACAATTCTGAATACACAAGAGAGATGGAGCTAGAAATGGAGAGCAAGGGAAGGGGCAGAGAGAAGAGAGAGAGCAGGGAGAGAGAGAGATAGAGAAAGACGTAGCAGTCCATCCTTATCCACAGAGGACACATTCCAAGCCCCTGCTGATGCCTGAAATTACAAATAGTACCAAATTCTCTATATACAGCAAAACTAGCACAAACGTCTTTTTCTTTCTTCACAATGAGTTCTTGCTGTAGAACTTAGCAACCTCAGCAAACCATTTTTATTCCTTATTGAGTACTCTCACCTTTTCACTTAGGAAGCACTTCATGGATTCTCTTAACATATCCAGATTGCAGGCATCACAAGTCTTGTGTTTTGGGGCTATTGATGAAATCAATTAAGGGTGACTTGAACGCACTCACTGCTGTACCACAACATTCAACATGATGACTGAGATGGCTGCTCAGTGATGGACAGGCAGGAAGCATGGACAGCATTGACATGCTGGACAAAGGAATGATTTGCTCCCCAGGCAGGACAAGAGCAGGCGGCCCAAGATTTCATCACACTACTCAGAACTTACAAATTGTTTCTTTCTAAAATTTCCCATTTAATATTTTGGACCACAGCTGATCAAGAATGACTGAAACTGTGGAAAGCAAAAATGTAGGAAAGAAGAAGTACTGTACAGAGATTAAGATAGACAAAGGGCAGAAGCTGTCCTCAAGGGCTTTGTGGCTTTCTGTGTCAAGATGTGTGGCACGTAGCTGTGCTGCATGCGGGTGGCTTGAGAGAACAGGCATCCGGGCATAAAACTTGCTTCTGGGCATAAATTTATGCATCCGGGCATAAATTGGCAGGCAGGCTATTTTAAACAAAACTGTGGAGAATTGATGTAGAAAAGGTGAGCACACCTCCTCCCCTGTGTTACCAACTTCCACCAAAATGTGCCTGGACACTTGAGAACAGCTCATTCCATCTGCCCATGGATCATCTCTTGACCACATCCCTTTCTTCTGATCAGCAACATCCTCCCTGACAAAATGACTTTTTATCATTTCCTTCAGCTCCACCTTCAATCTGGTTGCTTTTTACCTGGAGAAGTGCTATAGTATGAATGTTTATGTTTCTCCCCACCCCTGCAACATGTGCATATTAAAATCCTAACCCTCAAGGTGGAGCCTGTGGCAGCTAATTAGATCATGGAGTTGGAGCTTTCATGAATAGGATAAATGCCCTTATTAAAGAGGCCCAAAAGAGCTTGTTTGCCCCTTTCACCGTGAAGAAGCCCCAAAGAAGCACCATCTGTACAAAGTAGGTCTTCTCTGGGTACTGCAAGAGCTTTGATCTTGGACTTCACAGCCTTTAGAACTGTAACAAATATGTGTTTATTGTTTATAAGCCATCGTTTTATGGCATTTTTGTTAAAATGCCATATGTTCATTCTCTGTTCATCCCAAATGAACAGAGAAGTTGAGTTTGTTTTTATGAGAAAGCTATTTGGCTTAGCTTATTCTGAAAGTATTGTTTTTAAGTTAAGTTTATGGTTTTTTATAATTTTTTCTTTTTTTAATTAAATCATAGCTGTGCACATTAATCCAATCATGGGGTACAATGTGCTGGTTTTATATACAATTTGAAATATTTTCATCAAACTGGTTAACATAGCCTTCATGGCATTTTCTTATTATTGTGTTAAGACATTTATATTCTACATTTAATAAGTTTCACATGTACTCTTGTAAGAATCACCATAAGTGTGGTGCCACCAATTACCCTCCCTCCAGCCATCCTCCCCTTTCCCCTCCCCTCCCTCTCCCCTTTCCTCTTCTTCTTGGGCTATAATTGGGTTATAGCTTTCATAAGAAAGCTATAAATTGGTTTCATAGTAGGGCTGAGTACATTGGATACTTTTTCTTCCATGCTTGAGATACTTTGCTTAGAAGAATATGTTTCAGCTCCATCCATGTAAATGTGTAGGAGATAAAGTCTCCATCTTTCTTTAAGGCTGCATAATATTCTATGGTATACATATACCACAATTTATTAATCCATTCATGGGTTGATGGGCACTTGGGCTTCTTTCTCGACTTGGCAATTATGAATTGGGCTGTAATAAACATTCTGGTACAAATATCTTTGTTATAGTGTGATTTTTGGTCTTCTGGATATATACCTAGTAGAGGAATTGTAGGATCAAATGGCAGGTCTATTTTTAGATCTCTAAGTGTTCTCCAAAAATCTTTCCAAAAGGAACATATTAGTTTGCATTCCCATCAGCAGTGTGGAAGTGTTCCCTTTTCTCCACATCCACACCAACATCTCTGGTTTGGGGATTTTGTGATATGGGCTAATCTTACTGGAGTCAGATGATATTTCAAAGTAGTTTTGATTTGCATTTCTCTGATGATTAAGGATGATAAGCATTTTTTCCATATATTTGTAGGCCATGCACCTGTCTTCTTCAGAGAAGTTTCTATTCAAGTCCCTTGTCCACCCTGAGAAGGGATCACTTGTTCTTTTCTTGCTAATACGTTTGAGTTCTCTGTGGAGTCTGGTTATTAAACTTTTGTTGGAGATATAACCTGCAAATATTTTCTCTCACTCTGAGGGCTGTCTTCATGGTTTACTTACTGTATTCTTGGCTGTGCAGAAGCTTTTTAGTTTGATCAGATCCCAGTGGTATATTTTTGATGCTGCTTTAATTGCCCGGGGTGTCCTCCTCATGAAATATTCTCCCAGGCCAATTTCTTCAAGAGTTATCCCTGCACTTTCTTCTAGTATTTTTATAGTTTCATGTCTTAAGTTTAAATCTTTAATCCAGTGAGAGTCTATCTTAGTTAATGGTAAAAGGTGTGGGTCCAGTTTTAGTCTTCTGCAGGTTGCCAACCATTTTACCCAGCACCATTTGTTAAATATGGAATCTTTTCCCCACTGAATGTTTTTAATTGGCTTGTCAAAGATCAAATAATGGTAAGTAGCTGGGTTCATCTCTTCGTTCTCTATTCTGTTCCATACATTTACCTCTCTGTTTTTGTATCAGTACCATGCTGTTTTGATCACAATGGATTTATAGTATAGTCTGAGGTCTGGTAGCGTGATTCCTCCTGCTTTGTTTTTATTTCTGAATAATGTCCTGGCTATTCAAAGTTTTTTTATGATTCCATATAAAACGAAGTATTATTTTTTCAAGATCTTTGAAGTATGACAGTGGAGCTTTAATAGGGATTGCATCAAAATTATATATTGCTTTGGGTAGTATGGACATTTTAACAAGGGATTCTACTACAAAACTCTTAGAAATGATCAAGGAATATAGCAGTGTCTCAGATTACAAAATCAACACTCATAAATCTGTAGCCTTTATATATACCACCAATAGTAAGCTGAAAAAACAGTCAAGGACTCTATTCTGTTCACAGTAGTGCCAAAGAAGATGAAATATTTGGGAGTTTACTTAACAAAGGATGTGAAAGATCTCTATAATAAGAACTATGAAACTCTAAGAAAAGAAATAGCTGAAGATGTTAACAAATGGAAAAACATACCATGCTCACGGCTGGGAAGAATCAACATTTTATTTTTCTTTATTTAACCAGTTGTCCAAACAATGGACTCTATTGCATCAGCAATCCACCAAAGTCAGTTTCTGCTGCCAAAGTTATCCCTGCCGTAAAAGATGGTGCCTGGCTTGTCTAGTGTAGAGAAGATAAGCTAATTGGTACCTGTGCTGGTCTGAACCCACTGCAAGGACATGGGGGTTAGAGCAGCACTTTGAAGGGTTGTCCCCTTTATGGAATGCTCTCTGCATGGAGCCTCAACCAGAGCTATTGTGAATCAGTGGATTTAGTGGATGACAACTGAATAAAAATTCCAATCTGACTATCTTCCAAAGGACAGTGCCCTGTATTGTCCTCTGAGAGTTTTTCTAAGCCCACCTTTCAGTTCTGAATGATCCTATTGCATGGCTCACCCCTAAGATACATATAGGGCCTATTTCTTTCAGGGTGTGAGGATGCTTGCTCTGTTATAATCTCCTTTTTTGTTTTAAAGAAGTTTTAATGAAATACTTCATACATCAAAAATATATATAACATGTGAAAAATAAGATGAACAGACACACGTACCCAGCACCTATCTTAAATAGAATATTATGGAGTACTCTGAAAGGCCCCTGTGGATCGTAGTTCATTTATATCCCTCTTCTATTCTCTCTTGGGTATTTTTGTGATTGTGCTTGTCTTTCTTTTCTTAAGAGTTTAAAATATATATGTCTGAGTAATAAATAAAATTTTGTTTGCTGTTGAATTTTACATAAACAGTATCACCAAATGGTATGTGCTTCTGGAACTTGCATTTTTTGCATAACATAACATAAAATAAGCTTTGTTGCTGCACTACGTGCTCATTCATTCACATCCCTTGCTATACATACGGTCCTCCATTTCATAATTTGTTTATCCTTTCTTTGTTGACAGGCATTTAGTGTGTGTTTGTTCTTACAAAGAGCAAGTTTGGGTTATTTTTTACTGTTACAAATTCTAATGCTCTGAATAGGCTTTGCACATGCCTCTTGTATACATGTGTAAGAGTTTCTAGGTTTCCTAAGTTTGGGTAAGATTGATAGGTATAAACGCTTTCTACTTTATTAAATATTTCCAAGTGTTTAGCAAAGCAGTTAAGCCAGCTTACCCATCTAACATGAGTGTACACACAGAGGAATCTCCATGGAATCCTTTCTTGGTATTATTGTTTTATTGCCTGACTTACCTTTCTCCCAGTCTTGTCAGCTCTGTCTTGTTTCAATTGGCATTTCCTTGGTTCCTTATGAGAGGAAATATTTTTTGTACATTTTGCTCACTTACCCTCTTCTGTGTTGAATTTCCTATGTGTTTTCAATATGTCCTGGTCCATTCAGGTCTCTATAGGGCAGATTAGGACAGAAAATGTAGGAAGAACATTATGTTGATGGAATATGTGCTGCTTTTCTTTGTGAAGGTCATGATGAAGAAGGAAGTGGCCGCTATGGACCCCACTATATCACTGACATGGGTGTCGGTGAGGATGATGATGGATTTGAAGATGACTTAGATTTGGATATTTCCTTTGAGGAGGTAATAGGAATCCCTTTTCTTAAAACCCAAGGTGTTTTTGTTTTCTTGACAAACAAGGCAATTTAGCCAATAGGCCATGAAGATTTTACTTAAAGCTTAAATTGACCCATTTTCTTTTAACACTTATTTGTTTCCTATTTTACACTTCTAGTGGTCATAAATCACTAGTAGAGAAATACCAGCCATGTTGATGTGCTGTCCATAGCCCCTGCCTGCTGAGTTCACAATCTGACAAAGACGTTTTTAGATTTCCCACCAAGTGAAATTTTTAAAAATCAGATATTATTATAATATAAGGAAGTGAACAATTCCTTTACAAAGTAATATATCTTTATAATGTTGAAATTTATAAAATCATATAATATTAGTTTTACTACTGATTTTCTGAGTAATACAGGGCAAGATACTTAAGATCTCTTGGCATTAAGTTCTTTATCCATAAATTGAAGTCAACATTACCTGCCCCATGTCCATCACAGGGTTTTGGAAGTATCAATAGTGACCAATTTTCACGTGTTAGGCAACAACCATAAATAAAGAACTCAAATTAGTGTGCTCTGTGTTCATCTGGAACCCTTTTCCTTCTCTGTCTTCAGGTTAAACCACTCCCTGCTACCAAAGGAGGGAATAAGAACTTTTTGATGGAAACCAAGATGACATCTGTATCTCACCCAAAAACCCTCTCTGGGCTTGTCCCCCCTACCTCAGCATCTTCCCCCATGAGTACAGTGGCTCCCCAGCCCACTCCCATGGAGAGAAAGGGAAAGCATAGTGTGGCCATGATGTCAAGGCTCTTTGATATGTCTTGTGATGAAACCCTCTGCTCTGCTGACAGCTTTTGTGCCAATGACTATACCTGGGGGGGCTCGAGATGCCATTGCAACCTGGGCAAAGGTGGTGAGAGCTGCTCACAAGGTAGGCCCTGGGGGGTTAGAATATGGTGGTGGGCTGGTGCCACTGGGAGCCAGAGGGCCATAATGTGGTCCCAACATGGTTTTTCCCAGTCCCTTTTCTAAAATAAGTCCCTTCTTGAATGTATTGATCATTAAACTAGCTATGCAAGGCAAATTGTGAGGCAACTTTCATTGCTTTTAATTAGCAGCCCTATTTCTATGTGTGTCAAATATGTAGTCCTTTTGGAGTAACCTATGAATCATCTTGACAGCATCTCAGAGATGTGGCCTTAACTGCTATTCCATCTCTATCAGAAAGTGCAGCCAGAACATGTGCAAGAGGGTTAGGAAGCCCATTGGGCAAACTCATATTATAAAACGTATAATTGAGCACAGGTGACTGTAGTCTTACAGCCATTGATTTCTTTTTAGAAGAAAGTACCAATCTCAAAAAATTCAGTTTCTTTCTAAGAACTTCAGAGGCTCAAAGTCCCCCAAAATAAGAACGGCAGGTGTGAAAAGCAGAGAAAAGGAGATATTAAGCTAAATTGAAAAGATTAGCAAGGATTTCCATGCAACAGTGTATATTGACTTTTGCCTTTGAAGACATGAGGGAATAGCATTCTTTTGTGTTGTCTTTTTTCTTTTCAGATATTGTTATACAGTATCCTCAGTTCTTTGGCCACTCCTATGTAACCTTTGAACCTCTGAAGAACTCCTATCAGGCATTTCAAATTACTCTTGAATTTAGGGTAAGTGGGATGAGTTGTTTGTTAACTACTTTTTGGACACCTTAACACAAGGATGTGTTACATGCAAAGGGAGCGGGAGAGGAAGAGAGGAAGTAGGGAGAGTGACCGAAGGTAAATGTGCCATAGCACCTGTCCTTAAACCAGCTGCCAGCATAGCAGGAATGATGGGCACAGTCACACATTTTAAGTGCACCCCCGAGGGGTGAGTTTTGTATGTCACTGCACTGTGGAAGTGGCTGGTCTGAGGTTCCCAGTGAGAATGTTAGAGTCCTTGTATTGTGGAAAGAATACGTTGTCCATTCCAAAATCTTGTTTAAAGAGAGCCCAGTTGTCTGCCTTCATTGTGACAGCTATAATTAAACAAATGGAAAACTACTTGGTGTGCCCCTGGTGTAGCATGAGGACCCGATGGAGGCTCTCTGGTCTGAATCAACGCAGATGAGAATTTAATTCAGACTTCAGATTAAAATAATTCTTTTGGATATCTCCAAAGACACAAAAAGATATGGCGATGTGGAAACAAGTCGCTTCTGAAGTCATGGCCACAGTGTTGAGTGTCTAAGAGAGGACCTGGCCTGGTATAAGAAGGCATGGCTATCAGCCGCATTGTTTTTACCTTCCTGTTCTCCAGATGGAATGAAAGAAGCAAATTTGCATGCCTCCTGGGGGGTGGGGGCTAAAAAGAATAAAGAAAAGAATGCTCTTTGGTCAGCGTAGAATTGGATGAGGCCAAGCAACATCCTCTCTGTGACAGACATTATGTCTAATCACACGGTTTGCCAGGGGTTCTGCAGGTGGATCCACACAACCAAGTAAAGAGCAGACCACTGTCCTCTCAGGGCACTGCCCTCCCTCATACACTGTTTATATTGCTGCCATTTGTTGGCTGAAAGTGCCCTGGGATGGGTACCTGGGAAAAAATTGGAGCCCATGTGCTTGCTCCTGTCAATAGAATCACTTAAGTTTTGTATTCATGCGTGCTTCCAGATGGTGCTTCCTGGAAGAGGAGGTGCCTATTGTTCATGTGGCTTTTGTTTATGTAATAACAGGCTGAGGCGGAGGATGGCTTGCTGCTCTACTGCGGGGAGAACGAGCATGGGAGGGGCGATTTCATGTCCCTGGCTATCATCCGACGCTCTCTGCAGTTCAGGTAACTCATGCCCAAAGCCCTGTAGACTGGCTTTTTCTTTTTTACGTTATCTTACATTATATTTGCCTTTTTTATTGTGAATAAAATATATACAAGATGGATTCCAGTACTTAAAGGAATAGAATGACCTTGACCAGTTTATCAGATACAAGAGTATCAGGATTTCCTTTCAAACTATAGTTTTAGAACCTGGTCTCCATTCATTCTTGAGCACCCAGTGTGTACCCGGCACTCCTTTACACTAAAGATGCAGCAGTGAGCCACAAAGACAAATCTTTTCTCTCCTTGAACTTGAGTGGATGTGATGGGAAGAAAAGTGGGTCTTCTCCTAGTCTCCTCATGGTAAGTAGGGCTGACAGCCAGAGGGCAGTGAGGAGCCTGCAACCTCCCAAGGGCTCACAGAGGGTTAGGCCTCATCCTCACTTCCCCCATAGCCATGGTGAACTCCAGCTTGCCTCCTTTGTCCTGATCATCCTTCACTACACAGAAGCTCCCTTTAGCTTATGTGTAGTCTTTATTCTCCCCGCCCCCACCCGTGGAGGTGTGCTCTGCACCTATTTATGAACAACCAGTGGACACCAATCTTGTGCTTCTTCATAGCACCAAGTTCCACTGCCCACCTTCAGCAAATGCCTCAAACTCTCCAGGTCTGGGTTTCCTCATAGGGCTATTTGAGGATTAGAGGAGGGAGCCTATACTAGTGCAAACATCTGTAAACATCTACCATTATTGGCCATTTTTATTATTCCAGTATATAGAATAGGTTTGGAAACATTCAAGAAGACTTTTGCGCATCCCACTTAGGCTAGAAAATAAATTCCCCATCCTTTATTAAGTCCTTACTAAATGATTTGATTCATGGAAGTTTGGTGTTAGTCACCAGGACTGGGCCCATGGTTAGGGCTCTGACACTTGGAGAATCAGATGCAGGCATCCTCAAACTACGGCCCGCGGGCCGCATCCAGCCCGCCAGGTGTTTTTGCTGCCGCTGCCTGTCCCTGCTTAGCAGCCAACTTGTCTTGGGGCCCGCAGTCTGGCCCTCCAATGGTCTGAGGGACAGTGGACTGGCCCCCTGTTTAAAAGTTTGAGGACCCCTGAGATAAGAGTCTCAGTAGCACTGGCAGATATTGGCTGGTAGCAGCTCTCCCACATTGCAATTCCTCCTGAGTGAGCTTGAGGTCTCTCCCCCAGGCAAGCCTGTCCTACAGTGCCCCTCGACCCCATCTCACTCCTTTGGGGATCTCAAGACAAAAGGACTTCTGAAAATGGCTGTAGATAGTGCAAATCCTAATAAGGAAAATGCCAGCCATGGCTCCTTCCCCACCGGCAATCTCAGGATCCACATGGTGGCTATTTGGAATTTGGCCAGAAAGGACTGAAATTCTATCTATCAGGCATAGTGCCCAGGGGCCACCCTGGGCCATAGGGAGGTTAGGAATAACAAGGATAGTGCAGCCATCTAAGGGTGCTCCTCCCCATCCCATACCTGGTTCTTGAGCTGGAGTATCCTCTGGACATCTGACTTGTATGGGGCACAGCTGAACACAGATGGCAGGATTGGCCAGCTTGCCAAAAAGACTATGAAGACTTGGATTTTTACATTTTATTAATGTCGCCGAGCCTATCAGTTGAGAGTTGGGGAGAGTCCCCAGAGAAATCCCTGGAAGCAGAATGACTCACATTCTAATTCACTACCCCTTAAATTTACTTTAAGCATCTCTAATCTCTGAAAAGGAGGAGAGCCTTAGTTACCCATCTTTTTCTAAGCTGCAGAGAAAATCAGGTTAAAAAGGCCCTGTATGGAAAGGTCCTTTGGGACAGCCCCCAGGGAAGAGGGGGTTTAGTTCTTCCATGTATAGATTTAAACAGCTCTTGATATTCATAAGCTTAACTCTGAACAGATTGACTCTGAAAGGAGCTATTACCCTGAAAGTGAGGTCTGTGGAGTCTGAAAACATGATGAGCTGGTTGATCAAAGAATCTTCCTTTCCTTTTTTACCCCTGCAGGTTTAATTGTGGAACTGGGGTTGCCATCATCGTAAGTGAGACCAAAATCAAACTGGGTGGCTGGCACATTGTTACACTCTACAGAGATGGGCCCAATGGGCTGCTGCAGCTGAACAATGGCACGCCAGTGGCAGGCCAGTCCCAGGTGAGTGCAAGCCCCACCTCACCCACCACCCACTGTAAGCTTCCCAAAAGCAGCTCACTGCTGAGAGCCAAGACAGAGTCAGCAGGATTCAAGTTCCAGGCAGGCTGTGGGGGGCCTCTTGTTCATGCTAACCCCACACAGCTGAGCTCCCGATAATGCTCCTTGCTTGGTCTTGCCACTCCTGGTGAGCTTTCAGAGTCCCAGATCTACTGAGAAGAACTGAAGGTGTGAGCATCACTGTTGGGTGCACAGGTATATGCTGCGGGCTTGTGCCAGGGGACATGTTCACTGTCTGCAATGACTTCAAAGTCAGGAGCAATGACTTCCAATGATGATGGAAAGATAAAACCCATCATTAGTGTCACACACAAAGCTTGCTGTTAAGGCAGGGCTGTTGCAATCCTGTGGCTTTATAAAATAGTCCTGAAAGGTTAGCTTGGTTCAATATGCAGGAATAATGCAAATCACCTGGGTATTCACATATTTGTTATTCTCTGGGAAATTTGGGGGCTGTGTTTAGAGTAGCAACCTGCCAAGAACCAAGCCTATAATTATAAACAGGCAGGTGTCCGTATTCTCTGAGGAAAAATATAGCAAGAAAGCCTTTATGTATATGTGTATAGCCTCCTCCCTGGCCAGGCTGTTTACTACTCTTTGTTGGCAAAATGCGTTAAATGAAGGGCCATGCTGTGCTCATCCCCCCATCAAAAAGAAAAAATAAATAGTAAAAAGGCTTATTAATTTGGATCCTAATCCTTCCAAAGGAATAAGAATTCAAATATAATAAATGTGAATCCAGGGACATTGCTTATGCCCATATTGCTAGAAAGGGGAAAATAATGGGGTAAATTAGCTAAGAGTCATGTAAATGCCAGAACAAGAGGCTTAACATAATAAAATGAAGTTTGACAGGAATAAAGAAACATCTAACTTGGGTCCAAAATACTACCATGAAGACAGGATGGAGAAGCTGCAGTAGAAGCAGCTTTACGTGGGAAACGGGAAAATGTCTTAGTTTGAAGTGAGAATGTTCAATAAAGGTCAACATACAGGGCCGTGTAGTAACAAGGTCAAGCAATCATAAGCTGGATTACTAGAGTCACAGCATCCAGAAAAAGGCGGGGAGCAATCCTATTCTGTTCTGATAACTTTGTGACAGCTTCCGGTGACTCCACTGGTGACTCTAATCCTCTAAGAGGATTGTAATCAAGTCTGTGATCACATTCTAAGAAGGCCTTACACAAATTGGAGCATATTCACCGGGCAGTCACTCAAACAGAGATGACTTCAAATCCCTTTAATGATTGATTGAAGGAGTGGTATTTATTTTGGAGAAGAGAAGATGAAAGCACATATGGTGGCCTCTCATCAGAGAGTCAAAGGAAGAGTTTGGGGGAAGACGGATTCACTCTGTGGACTTCTGAGGGTGAAACTGAATCAGGAGAGCCTCGGGGAGACCAGTTTTTGCTTCACTTAATTATACAAAGGGACAGAGGCACAACAGACATCTCAGGAGATGGTTCGGTGTCCTTGAGGGGTGTTCAAAGGTAACTTATCTCAACTTTTTGATAGGAATGTATGAGGAATCAAGCAGCCAATGGAAGCTTGGATTCTAAGAGGTTTCTATACTTTTCCAATCCCCATACTCTATGATTTTCATGATTAAAGTAATTAATTGCAAGAAGCACCTAACTTTATGGATACTCACGGCAAACTGTGCCTCTGTACTATTTGCTGAGCAAGTTGTATGAGCAGAACCACAGATGTGGGATGTTTAATAAACTGTCTTGGGAGATGTGATTTTATCTGGGGTTCCCCAGAAACAGACCTGAGATAAGGAGTCCTGGGCAAGTGACATATTAATAAAGTGATCCCAGGGGAAACTGCTAAGAGAGAGGAGAAGATGGACAGGGAAGAGGAGGGTGTCAGCAAGAGTGAGCTGTCAGGCAAAAGTCCATCAGGGTATGGTTTCATCCCTCCTACAGGGAAGCTTTGCAGTATGAATCGGAGGTTATCCCAAACTGTTAAGGGCTGTCCTGGAGGGATGCAAATTCCAGGACACCTTCATTTCTCTGCATAGGTAGACAAAGCAGACTCCAGAGAAGAGAAGGCAACACTTGTTAGAGAAAAGTAAAGGCCAGGTTTGAAAACTATTGCCTGGGGTGTTGTGAAGAGCACCTCAAAGGAGCGACCAACCCCTAGGAGGTATTTACTGCTCTAAAAAAGGATTGAGTTGTCTGGCAGGTCCCCCGCTGTGGTCCTGAAACAGACAACAGGACTGGAAGGATGAGGATGGGATTAAGAAGTAAATGCTGAGGCTCTTGATGAAAGAAACCCACAGGGCATTTAGCTCATCTAATAAAAGTAGCATGCTCAGGGGCTGGCAAGCATCTGATCCCTAAAAACCACAAAGTTCTGTAAAGCTTCCTAGCTCATGTTCAGTCTCCCACTTACAAGTGATTCTTATCTATTCATTAGAAAAGATAAAACAATGGTTAGATTTTTCACTTGTTGGTTACAGAAGTTTAAAGGATGAAGATTACATTGCAGTGGCTTACACTAAACGTTTTCTAAGTTTTGGCAGTGTGCCTTTTTCAACACCCTTTCAGGCCCTATAATCTAAATGAATGAGCCATTTCTATAATAGAAAAAGAAGTACCCAAATTACCTTAATTTTGTTTTACCTAATGTTCAGCTCTGTATTTCATAACCCCAGAACCTGCAATCCAGAGCGTGGTTTGTTCTAAGATTAGAAATTTTCCTGCCTCACTGTAATAACACTTAAAAAAGAAAAAAAACCTATCCATAAGGAAATTTCAAAAAACTTTGCAACATAATCTGTTTGGCGATTTCTCCCCCACAATGTTTCTTGTAGGATATAGTATAAAGGTCCCTTGGATAGTGAAAGGGTAAGTGTTAGCCCACGTACACACAAAACTAGCATTATCACCTTCTGAGGCACAGAATAGCCCTCTGACCCGGCCAAAGTACACAGTCAGTTGGTGTCAGGACTGGAAGGAGAAAGTTTTCTTTGGATTCCTGGTATGGTTCACTGCCTGTTGGGTTGGGCTTGGACCTGACTCCCTTCCCCTCCCATCTCAGCATTCCAAAACAATCCCTTCTGGAAACGGTCCTCGGAGAAGCTCACTGAGTCCCTATGGTAACCACGGGTTTTATTTCCAGTAGGGAAATGCCTCATTACAGATGGAGAAAATTCTGATGGAGGCCTGGACCCTGTATCTAACTATGTCCCCCCAAGACCTGTTGTGTTTTAGCTTTTTATTTTGTTTACTGAGACTTCATTTTTCCTAAAGGGCCAATACAGTAAAATCACCTTCCGGACACCCCTCTATGTTGGTGGGGCTCCCAGTGCTTACTGGTTGGTCAGAGCAACAGGGACAAACCGAGGCTTTCAAGGCTGTGTGCAGCTGCTCGCTGTTAATGGGAAGAGAATTGACATGCGGCCTTGGCCACTGGGAAAAGCACTCAGCGGAGCCGACGTGGGTGAGTGGCTGCCTGGCAGGCGGGGGTGCTCTTTCTGGCTTGGGCTGGGAAGGTGAGCAGCAGCAGCTACAGTCTGGGGAAGCTGGTTAATGCAGCACCTCAGGAGGGAGGTGGCCCAAAGGGCGAGGTTGGGGCTCTGTAGTCATGTTGACCCTGAGCCTGAACCAAGTGTGGTAACAGTGTGGTGCACCAAGGCCCGGGTTGTGTACTGCTGCCACCTTGGACAGCTTCGTGAAGCATGACATGACCTCATTGGGCAAAGCAACAAGCAATCCAGCCATTCACCTTACCTCCCCCAGCCCGGTGAAAACCAACCCAGTAACACAGGAGAGCTTCATGTACTCCCTGCTTCTAAGAGAACTTCACCTTCTAGTTCTTTACCACGGCGTCAAACATTTCTCAGATGACTTCTCCTTTACTCTTCACTCTAGGAGGTAGAAATTATGATTATACTCATTTTATATATGAAGAAACTGGGGCTTGTAGAAATTACATTAATTATTTAAAATAGCAGGCCGAACTAGGATTGTTTTTAAAGAAACAGGAACATTTATTCTATCACTGAAGGCCACAGCTAGACAGTCTCAAGCTTGGTTAGTTCAGTGAGTGTCTCAGCCTGCTCAGGGCGTCATACAGCATACCACAGCCCGGGTAGCGTAAACATCAGGAATTTATTTTCTCACAGTTCTGGAGGCTGGAAGTCTAAGACCTTTTCCTCCCATCTCTAAGATGTCATTTTGAAAGCATGCACAGTGGACACTCTGTACTCACTACCTAGGTTTCACCATCCGCATTTTCGCTGCATTTGCCTCACTGCATATCAGTCCATCCATCTCGGTTTTCCTCCATCAGAGCCAGGATTCCATCCTCATGATTCCGGGTGCAGTTTTTTGTTTTATTTACTTGTTTTGTAGGTGATGTTAGTTGAGCACCTACTTTATGGGGGCACCATTCTAAACTACCTTAGTATCCCAAGATGCTTATGAAGTAGATGCTATCATTAGTTAGCAGATGAGAGCCAGTGGAACAGAACAGTCAAGTAACTTGCCCAAGGTCACACGGCTAGTAAGTGGGAGAGCCTCCCTGTGACCACAGCCATTCTGGCTCCACACCCTACCTGTTAGCCAAATCAGCTACACCAAAGCCTCAAATTGCTTCCCCCTCCACCTTACTCACTCCTAATTGTGATGCCATTGTTCTAATTACAAAACATAAAGTTTACTTAACAAGAAAAGTTTACTATCCATATGCTATGCTCTGTGTAATTTTTTCCTAGTGGCTCACTTAGTCAAAATAAACAATAAAAACAATGACTAAAACAATTATTAAGCTCCCACGGTGGTCAAGGCAATGTCTTCAAAATCCAGAACTTAAGAACCAGCAGCTCAGTCAGGAGTCTTTCATGCAGTGTTCGTGGGCCTGGACTATGAAGGCAGATTGCCTGGATTGGACAAATCTTTGCAGCTCAGTTTCCCCATGTACAAATAGTACCTACCTCATAAGAAGATTTTGTTTAAAGGAGTTGCGGTACATTCAAAGTACTTGGAAGTGGGCCTTGTACATAGCAAACACATTGTAAATATTTCCTGTGAGCAATATCATTATTCATATTCTAAGTTCACCCAGCAAATAAGCTATAATGTGTTTCCGCAGAGAAACAGCCCTGAAAAGACCTGGGAGTGTCAAGGCTGCATGGTAACCTCTGACAGGTAGTTCAGAAGTCGTGAAATTGGGCAAGAACTGATTTTCACCATCTCCATTAAGCGCAAGACACCAAAAGGCAGCTTTTGCATTATTAGTTTTCTCTTTGTGAATCTTAATAGCACGTGCCAGTCTTGTTGGTCTTTTTTATTTCTACCCGTTTTGTTTTCCCTGGGGGTATAAGAGCAGAGCTGGTTATCTTTCGTCAGCCTCCATACTGGCTTTCTTTTGAGTTAGTCCTCCTGCAGTGCTAGTTTTTGTAAGTCCAATGCAGTCTCACCATGGAGCTCATGGCCATCCCACCTGGTATCTCTGACGTGGCATCGCCATCTTTAACGTGACCTTTTCTCTGTGCCACCTCCTCTTCCCCTCAACCTGTTTTCACTCCTCAGAGAGGACTGTCATTATTCAGTTCCTCCCACTCCTCCTCCTATCTGCTTCACGAGATTGTTCCCAGCTGTTGCACTCTCTCTGTAAGTCTCCTTCTAGAATAGTCAGCAATCTCAGCAAAAGTTTGCACTCTCTGGCCCAGCCTTCTTTTATTATTTCCACTCAAATTCTCAACCTGAAAGCACCACCACTCATCTTTTCTGATCCTGTCTTGAATCTCCACACCCTGCCGGAGCCATGTCACAGAGCCAGCTCACCGTATTCATGAGAGCTGTGCTGTGGCCATGGGTCTCACGTGGCTTCTCCACTCTCTTATTCATTCTCTCACTCAGTAACTGCTTCTCTGAGTGACCACTTAGTGGTAATCACAGTGCTAGGTGCTGGAGATAAAGTAAGGAACCAGGCAGACAGGATCTGACCCAGACCTCATGTAGCTGCCATGATGAGAGACCAAATCAGTCAGATAATCACAGGAGTAAATGTAAAATTGCAGTTGGGAAGTTAGCAAGAGGCAAGAGTAGGCGTTAAGAGGTGGGGAGGAGAGGGAAGGGCATCCCAAGTGAAGGGAAGGGCTTGTTCCAGTGCAAATAGGAGGGGAGGTGGGTGCCATGACCTAGGATGTGTTTGGAAAGATCCTCCAGCCATAGAAAGCTCAGTGAAAGGGGTGCTTGGGGGTACATGTGACCATCTGAAAGTCTGAAGCCACACTGGGGCAGCGGGTGGTGGTGGCAGAGACAGAGACTGATTTGACACAGGTCGTTACGGGGAGAAATGGGCAAGCTCAGTTATGATTGAAAGTTGCCCTTTGTCCATGGTCCTCTTGATGAACTCCATCCTTGAAGTTCCTCCTGCTCTTGCCTCCGTAGGAGTCTTGTGTCTTTTCTGCCCTCACTTCATTATCTAGCATGAAACCACACAACGGCTGGCTGAGAGCAGCCCTCAGTGAACGCTACTTTCCATCTGGGTGGTGAGGTTTCTCCAGCTCTGTGTGTACGTGGCCTCATGCCTCCTGCCTGTCACTCTCGAAGTTGGAAGTGTTCTTCCTCCCTACAACAAACCTAGTCATCTACATACAGACCGAGCCACCTGCATCTGCTTCCCTGGGACCCTGCCACCAGGGTTCTCTCTCTCTCTCAACAGCTCAAGGGTTCTTAATTCTTAACCTTTTCTGTGCGGTGGCCTCCTGTAGCAGTCTGGTGAAGCCTGTGGGCCTCTCCTCAGAATGATGTTTCTAAATGAAGAACAATAGTTCACATACTATTATAAGGAGAAACAATCATATTGAAATACAGCCTTTAATCATTTTCTAAGTTTTGCTAGTGTAATAATAATTTTCACCCACTATTAAATAATGGGATTATCCCATTATTATATTAATGGGATTATTTAATAGTGTGTGAAATAACTACCAAGATTTTCAATGAGTATAAATGGCATCTTGAGATATCTACAACAAGAGGAGTTGACAACTGTGAGGTCTGTGGTCACAGGACTTGTGAACTGCTCCCGCTAGAAGCATACTGGTGTCTACATCGTTGAGAGAAGTGCATACTCCCTTCCAGAGATCTGAGAAAGTAAAGATGTAATGTTTTCCCCATCTAAGCTCACAGACCCCTGCTGTAGCTTACCCACATGTGCTCAAGGCTTCTTCAGCTCAAACAGATGCCATCCTGTGCACGAGCCTGTGCCCCCCTCCAGTTGGGGAACCCTGGGAACCTCTGTCCTTTCCTTTAGGGGCTGACACCAGCAGTGGCTATTTTCACAGTCATCTCACATTTAAAGTGAGCTCCTCCTCTGCCTGTCAGAAGCCAATGTCTGTCCATAGCCAGCCTGGCTTCTTCCCTCTCACCACCAGTCCTTAGTCTTCCAAGCTACAAGCCTTGAGAGACGCTGGAATCTTCTTCCACCTTCAGCCTGCAGACTGCTCTCTCATTTCTTCTTTTCCTTCTTTGATTCTTCCTATCCCCTCCATTTCCTTTGCTGTCACCCTCTCTACCTTTCCAAAAGACTTCTTTTTTCTCTCCCACCCCCAGCACCCAGCATACCATTGCCGGAGTGATCTTGCTAGAACTCCGCTTTCATCAGGTCAGCGACTCTGGCTGGCTTCCATGACCTCTGCCCACTCCCACCTCTTAAAAAATAGTTACAACACAGATGTGTATAGTAATTTCTTCCATGTGTATTTAAAATAACTCCAGGACTCCACTTCCTGTGGAACCAGCCCCGCTCTGAGAAAGAATCGCAACCCACGGTAATTGGCAGGGAGCAGGGACCTGTGAGTGTTTGGCTCACACAGATCAGAGTCAGCATCTCTGTGGAGCCTGGGAATGCTGAGGGCGAGGTTCTCAGGGCTGTGGCTGGGAGACCACCAGTCACATCTGCCTGAACTTCCAGTGGCCACCAGCTGGAATCCAGAGAGTCCACCCACACCAGCTGGGATAGCAAGCCATCTGCTAGGGCTTTAATCCAATTCCGTGCAGCCCCTGAAGTCAGTCTTCTCTCCCAGGTCAACATTGGGTACCCTACCCTTCCCCCACTCTTCCTAGTTTTCTTAATGAAAAGAAAAGAGGGGCCCAAATCAAAGAATACAGATGCCCGATCAGGGGAGAGTAAGAGATTCATCCTGCTCAGGTGACACACTCTGGCCGAGGACGACTCTACCGACTCTTCCCCTCACAGGGCGTGGGCGTCCAGCTCGTGCAGGGACAGCTAGGGGATTGGCCTAGGCATAGCTGGCCCTTCACTTCACGGCCCGGTCAGAGACATACCCCCTTGGCTTTCATTTCTCACCTATAGAGTTCTGGGCCACATTGTGGTGGCCCAGAGAGAAGGAAAACCAAATAAGCAGAAGAAAAGTGGCCCAGGGAAAGTTCACTTTTTGTCACTTCTGCCAATCTATCGGCAGATGACAAAATACGCCCTTTTCTGAAGCTCTCGGATATTTGGTGAAGAGAACTCATTCATCCGATGTTGAACCTTTTAGCACTTTTTACTCCTAAGAGTGTAACTTTAGAGGCAAAAATAAGGATTCTAGGACCCACATGCTAAGGTATTATGGAGCCCTCCCTCCTTGTCTCCCTATCCTGGATGAAGGAGTCAACAAATTAAGAAGTGTTACTAAGCTTAGCTACAGCTGCATAACTCCTCTGGTCTTGTCTCAACTTTGAACCAAGGCAGCAGCACTTAAGCTGACTGGGGTCCCACGAATTAGAATGCTTTCAACATGAACACCCTGTTGACGTTGGGAGGAACTGAAATGCAGTCTTGTGGGAACAGAGAGAGAGATGAACTAAAGCAGAAACAGCTCAGCCATCCCCATCAGTGGTCATAGAATTACCCAGTAATTTGTTATTTGATTGATTGTGCCCATCACGTTTTAAAAAGTCTGTTTGGCTCTTCTTAAAGAACAAGCCAAAATAAAATGAAAATGAAGAGCCAGTTCCACGTATTCTGGAAGCTGGCTGTGCATCTGCACAGGGGTGCAAATCAACAGCGGTGAGGACTGAACTGTGTTTATTCAGGACCAGGAACTGCCACCTGGCCAGCTACGCAGGCAGAGGGGCAGCTTTGTAACAGCCGTTCTGTGTTTAGGGGAGTGCAGCAGCGGGATCTGCGACGAGGCCTCCTGCATCAACGGCGGCACCTGCACAGCCATCAAAGCCGACTCCTACATTTGCCTCTGTCCCCTCGGGTTCAGAGGTCGACACTGTGAAGAGGGTGAGGAAGGAGCAAGTGGATGGCAGCTTCTCTCTGCATGTTCATTCTTGTGGATGTAATTTCTCATCACGTGTGCCTGTAATGGAGCCCCATACATTTTATGGGATCCACGTTGCTTTGTTGGGAGGGGTGGGGGAACCTTTTCCCACCAGGTTAGAGTGTGTCTGAGAGCCAAAGTTTTCAATGAACCAAAGATAACATTCATTTTAAGATGCCAAGCATGCGTGTGCTCCTCCTCTTGGCCCTCAGAGAACTCAAAAAGCCTATACTCATGTGGTTTGTATCCCACTGAATTCAATGTATTTAAACTCATGCTTATGCTCTTCAAAATATCTGACAGTTTCAGAGAAAAGATTGGGAAGACGTAGACAGAAACATTAAGACTGTGATGGTTCATAAGTGACCTTGTCTTTTCTTCTTTGTATTGTCCTACCGAATATTTCACCACTCAATCCTATATATATATATATCAGTTATGTAAGTATATGTATACATGCACACATATTTTTATGTATACACGTAAATGCATAGCACACACAAATATACACATTTTCTTTTTTTTTTCTTTTAAAGATTCCCTTTTTATTTATTTATTTATTATTTGCAGTTTTTGGCCAGGGCTGGGTTTGAACCCACCACCTCCGGCATATGGGGCCAGCGCCCTACTCCTTTGAGCCACAGGCGCTGCCCAATATACACTTTCAAGCTAACAAGAACTGAACATTTTAAAGATTTTAGAAAACCATACAGGGTTGAGCATGCTTTAATTTTTCCAGAATTCCAAAATGGAAAACGAAACTGGGGCTCAGAACAAAGCTAGACAAATTTCTCCAAGAGTGATTGAAATTCGGACGTAAGATACCCATACTGGGGAAAAGTTTTTATATTATAATCGCAAATCTCATGTCACATAAAAGAAGGTATTTGAGTGAGGTGGGGCCAATGCTGTTATCAACTCTCTCACAATTCTGCAGCCGTACGTAATAAAGGTGGTTCTTACTTAGGTCAGTGGGTGAGGGAGGAGTCCTGCTGTGGGTCTCCTAGGGGCCTGAGAGTCCTCCAGTGATTCCTGCATCCAGCCGGCAGGTGACAGGAGAAGGGACAAAGGAAACTTTTACTAGCTGGGATTTAGCCACACCACTAACCTAACCACAGGGCAGCCAGGAAATGTCGTTTAGGTCTGGGCCCAGGCAGTAAAGAACACAGCTGTGGGTGCACATGTGGCTGGTTACTGCAAAGAGGGATTTCTAACACTGTGCTTGTCTCCTCAGCGTTCACCTTGACCATCCCCCAGTTCAGAGAGTCTCTGAGGTCGTATGCTGCCACGCCCTGGCCCCTGGAACCCCAGCATTACCTCTCCTTCATGGAGTTTGAGATCACGTTTCGGCCAGACTCCGGAGATGGCGTCCTTCTGTACAGCTATGACACAGGCAGCAAAGACTTCCTGTCCATCAACATGGCAGGGGGCCACGTGGAGTTCCGCTTTGACTGTGGCTCGGGGACCGGTGTTCTCAGGTGAGGGCTGAAACCTTCTGGAACCCCCAGAAAGCTAAATAATAACCACTTCGGGAGAATACCCGACTGGTGTCCAGTAGCTCCCACGCCCCCTCGTCCTCGCTGTGCAGTATCTTCTGAAACTTTCCCTGCATCATACACATGACGGGCTTCCCGTAGGTAGCGCTCGCCTGCCCACAAGGGCTTCCTTCACTCAAATAACTACTCAGCAAGTAGCAAGTCTATGCTTCAAACTATAGAAAATGGACTTGCTCCGGGTATAGGTGAACTGCCTTCACTCCATCTGAGGTCATGCAACACCGTCTGTAGAAAGGTGACGAACTGTAACAAATCAGGGTCCTACACAGAGAATCACCAAGTCTATATCAACTAGTAAAAAACAACAACAAATGTTTAATGAACAAAATGTCCTCAGTAACCTCCCCTGAAATTTTAACCTTCCTCTTAAACTCTTTCTTTAATGGAAACTGACAGCAGATCTTGACAATGGGAAGACCATTCCCCTCATCAGCACGCTCAAGACAGATGTGCGATGGGGGTCTCCACAGTGTGGCAGTGAACAGGGCCTCTGCAGTACATGGGTTACTGCAAAAGTTTCATGACCGACTGTGTTATGGCCCATGATGTCACTGCCAAGAAACACAGTCAACAGCATCCCTTCTGATTCACCTGTGCAAGCTTCAGTTTGCTCGCCTTTTCAGAGTTGCTGGGAGGGCTTCCTTTGTTTCTGTCCATACAGATTTTACATTTTTTGATTTTTGTGTATCTCAAAACCTTCATGCTGACCTCAAGCTGCTGTTTGCAGAATCGGCCTGAGTAGTCAGCTTTCCTACTGTCCTCTACTTTGTACCATCAAGTTACTTAGCAGATCAGTTACTCCTATACTACGAGGCAGTGTCTTTCTGAATCCCTCAGAGTCCATGGTTGGAAGATGAGATATTTTTCTTATTTGTTCATGTCTTCATCTTCTTACAGTGTTCCTTCCATGGTAGTTTTAACCTTCACACTGGAGGGCCACTAATGAAATGCAGACACACTTTTTTTTTTTTTGCAGTTTTTGGCCGGGTCCAGGTTTGAACCCACCACCTCCAGTATATGGGGCCGGCGCCCTACTCCTTTGAGCCACAGGCACCACCCAAGACACACTTCTTGTTCCTACATTTGTCAAGTTCATCTGAAACTCACTAGGATTTTTGTTCAATGGTATCCTGCAATAAGAATATCTGTGAGTCTGATGATGTTTTAAAGGAAATTGCAGGTTGTATTCAATCACTATTCAAATTGTTAGACTGTCAGTTTGGGAGAGTGTGTGGATGAGAGGTTATAACCAAGCCTTGCCCTTCTGCTGATCATTTTTTCATGGCTGATGGGAAATGCTCACTGCATTAGGTTTCAACACTTCTTAAAAAGGACTGTTTGCTTTTGACCTTGTGGCTGAATTCCTACACATCAGTGACACCCCTCCCATTGGGGAATGGACATTTTTGTACCTCTGGTGATACAAAAACATCCTATATTTCAAGGCAACTTTGGTGGGTATTTAATTGATTCAATTTACATATAATTATGCAAAACAGCCTAAACAGTTCACTTAGAACTATATGTCAAGTTGAGAAGGGGAGACACCTTGAAAATCACCTTGCACTTTCAAATGGCTTCTTCTCAGAGAAGGACTGAACTGAAAGAGCCGGGAGAGGGTCAGGGCCCCACAGCCCTCCTCCTGGACAGATTGTCCCTTCCAGCCTGCCCTTCTGCAGTGGCCGCTCCAGCTGTCGGGTCACAGGCACATGAGACCCTTAGAAGTCCAGCATTTCTCTCTCTCATAATTCTGTGCCTCTTTCTGACAAGAGGTGTTTTTAATTTTTTTTTAACATAAGTTATTATTTGCCTATCAGGAAAGGCAATGGGAAAAAGAATTCTTGAGTATTAGGTGATGAAAGTGAGGCAAGAGCTTCCAAGGGACACGCTACATCTGCCCCTGTCCCATCCCATCCCCAACATAACCTGGTAACAGTGGTCACTATTGGTGTTTCAGATGCCCTTTTGGGAAACTGGGAAACTATTTCAAAGACTTCCTGCTTAATTACCAAAACTCAGTGAAAGCCTGTGCTACAGGAAGTTGTGGATTGGTCAAATCATTTTAACTTGAGGAAAAGGATAAAGATGATCAAATTCATTATAAACTTGATTCAAGAATAAGACAATTGGAATGAGCTCTTGATGGCTGTGATCAATACAACTGCTCCGAGGAAGGCAGCGTATTGACAGCAAATGACCTCTGCAGGACGTGAACATGAATGGCTCTGTTAGTTATTATGGAGATAGACCACTTAAGAAAGGTCCGCTTGTTTCTTTATTGCATATTGATTTAGCCAAGGTGATTAAATCCTAATTGCTAAGAACAAATTGCAAAAGCATTTGCCAGAGCTAAAAAAAATCAAGTGAATGGGTGGTGACCTTTCATAATTATGCCCATTGGTATTCCTCCTGGTTTTCTAAAGATGATCCAAGACCGAAAAATAATTAGGAAGTTCAGTGAGGGCCAGGAACTACACCTTGTTAGAAATACAAATGCAATAATGATACGCTTTCTGCACACCTCACTCTAAAGCGTAATGTGTAAAACTCCTATAAATATCATTTAAACTTCAACCACTTTCAGCTTGAATTAATAATTCAATTTTTAAAGTAATTTTAATCCTTTTTACAATGTCTGAAAATATGAAATGTTACGTCCTCCCATCATTTTATTGTAAAAAATTTCAAATATATGGGAAAGTCAAAAGATTTATCCAGTAAGCATTCTTATACCCACCACCAAGAGTCTACAATTAATGTTTAGTGATATTTGCTTCACCACTTATCTAGCTATTTCTATATCCATCCATCCTCCTTCCTTCTTATTTTTTTATACATTTCAAAGGATGTTGTAGACATCAGTACGCCAAGGAATTTGTTTTTTACATTGTAGCTTATAATTTTCTCTCTTCTTCAGAGTTTGTGTACAATTATATTTTAGCCTCATGTCACTTCTTATCTAGAAAATCAGACACTGTACCCACATTCAGGCTTGTTATAAGGAATAAATGAAAAAGGTATGTAATGCTGTTACTGGGAAGGGGTCCACTAAATGATACTAGTACTGCCATTGTACTAAGCAGGAATTATGGTTTTCCTTTTACTGAATGGATCGAGGTGCCAGTTTTCTCACAGCCATGTTGATGAATATTATCATAACCTACTAACCCATGTTTTCTTCTGTATTAGTCAGAGTTCTCTAGGGAAATAGAACCAATAGGTGGCATATAGGTATAGAAAGAGATTTATCATGAGAGATTGGCCCATGTGATCATGGAGGCTGAGAAGCCCCAGGAAAGCTGATGCTCTAGTTCTTGTCCTAACCCAAAGGCTGAGAACCAGGTGGGCCAATGGCACAAGCCCCAGTCCCAGCCCAAAGTCCTCAGTACCAGAAAGCTGATGGTGTGAGTCCTGGGTCCAAGTCTAAAGACCGAAGAACCAGGAGTGCCACGTCCAAGGGCAGGAGAAAATGGATGTCCCAGGTCAAGAAGAGAGAGGAAATCCCCCTTCCTCCTATTTTCTGCTCAATTCGGACCCTCAGCAGGTAGTATGATGGCCACCCGCATTGGTGAGGGCCTTCTTCTGTACTCAGTTTATGCATTCAGATGCTAATCTCTTCTAGAAACACCCTCACACATATACCCAGAAATACTGTCTTGCCAGCTATCTGGACATCCTTTATCCCAGTCAAGTTGACATGTAAAATTAATGTCACATCTTCCTTCACTAGGAGTGAAGATCCCCTCACCCTGGGCAGCTGGCATGAGCTGCATGTGTCTCGCACAGCAAAGAACGGCATCTTACAGGTGGACAAGCAGAAGGTGGTGGAGGGCATGGCGGAGGTAAGAAGGACACACCTGTTCCCCTATTGGTTAGTGAGAAGGGGTTACTGCATTCTACCTACCTTGGTAGAAAAGCAGCACAGGGTAGCATTTAAGCACGTGGGCTTTGATGCAGGGGTTGAAATCCCAGCTCCCCACTGGGCAAACTACTTAACTTCTACTCCCAGATTTAGGGCAGGGGGCATGTCTGACAAGAAGACTCCCAAGGCTCACAGTTCAGCTCCATTACTTACTACTGCTGTTACCTCATCTCAGTGGAAATAATGGTGATGACAATAGTGCTTACCACATAGAGTTATTGTGGGAATTAAATGAATTATATACACAAAACACAACAGTACCTGATGCACAAGTCAGCACCAAATAGCTTTACTTATTATTATTATTATTATAAATAGTGTACTAGTAGGGCCTTAACAGAACAGAATTTCTACTGACATTTATAACTTTCCTCCATAATTTTATCTCCAAGATCATGTCCAAAGAAAAACAACATTTTTAAGAGGAAATAAGGATGATTTGCCCTAGCCTGTAGCTTACCAGGATTCTGCACTCACACACAATTTACAATTCTCTAAAAATAGGGGAACTTTAGATTAGCCAATCTTAGTTCTCACCAGTCTTTATTCTGTGCAAAGCAAGATTTAAAGAGGGCATTGACAAATTTGGGCATACCAATAAGCCGATGGTTTAGGAGAAAAAAGAAAAGGAAGGAAAAGTGACCTTTGGTGGGGAAAGAGACTGACAAGAGAAGATATGCGCTCCATGTGTATTTGTGGAAGGAAGGGAGGGAAGCAAGGAGAAGAGTAAAGGGAAGTAGATTTTAAAGGTAGAACAGGAGTTACTTCTGGTCCAATCCAGAACATTCTAAGAGCTGACTTTAGTCCAAGACAGAATTAGAAGCACATAAATATATACCTTGCTATATGTTAGCTTAAAATAAATTCAACTGTATCTCTTTAGGCCTTAAACAGGAACAAAAGCTTAGGATGGGCATGTTTGTAAGTAGTGGGGTAAGGTCTTGGACTATAAAGAAGGTACTCTGCAGGACACGGTTGTACCATCAGGATCTAAGAGACAATCCAAAGGTGGAAACCATGCCTCACAGTTTCCATTACTGTATGTCAGCGAAGGAGAATAAACTCAGTGTGGTAGAACCTGCACCCTCCCTGTTGGCCTCCGGAATGTGGGAGGAGTTGCTGTCCACCTGGGAAGCCCACAGGCAGATGCGGCTATGCTGTGTGCAGGAGGGATACTCTGCTAAGGTCTCTTGAGGGACGCTCTGCTGAGATCTCTCTGAGCCAAGAGTGGAAGGCCTGGTGCTTGGTCTCAGTGAGTTCAGAGTCTCTCCCCACAAAGAACTCTGCTCCCAGCTGTCCACGTCATGTTCCAAGCGTGGCTGATGGGGCAATGGTCTTAGAGCTTAGAGACAGGTGAGGGAAGGGGTTAGAGTGCACTTTGCAGGGTTAACCCTGAACCTAGGCACATGAGAGCCTGTGTCCAGACTCCTGCTCCCTGGGTTGCTTAGCCAACAGCACTGAGAAATACCAGGGGCCCAGGGTTGAGTCCAGCCATGCAAGACTCCAAGAAGGGCCATGGTTCTGAAGGCTGCATAAAAAGCAGCAGGGATAGTTGCTCAGTTTCTCAAACTACTTCCAGCCAAACAGAAGTGGCAGGACCAGACACACAGTCCCTCACCTCAGAGCTGGCTCGCTTTGGTGAGGTCTGTCCACTTCTCTCCCATGGGCCCATGGTGGGGTGGCAGCTGTAGCCTGCCTTTGTCAGCGGGAGGGAGGATTCTGAGGGGCAGCCTAGAGGAACCTGCCTCATGAGGTCCCACCACATTTGATGACACAACCATGACTCAAAGTTTTCCAAAACAACTGCTGCTCTGAAACCTCCTTGACCCTGCACCCTTCCACCTTTCCTCTTATTTTAACTTTGGCTAAGAGCAAGGACAAAGGAGGCTTGTGGGTTTGTGGTGACAGTTCCTGTCTGGTTCAGTGTCCTGTAGGGGCAAAAGAATTCCAGAAAGTCCTTATGCTTCTATGACAACCTCCCAGTTAAATAAGAACCCTCAACGTCACCTGAAGCCTATTGACAAGGCAATTCAGTCTGTTAATCTACAGGAGATTTCCCAGGCTCCATGGCTGGGCCCCACCGTGCTGAGCACTCCCTCAGATAACCAGAATTCCCTTTTCTGATCTCCCTGTCCTCTCTCCTCTACACAGACTGGCCAGTGAGCTTCCTAAAACATAGCTTTCTCTCTCCCCTGCTTAAATCTCATTGCTGTTTAGGTGAAGTTCAAACTCCTAACATAGAGAGCCTGCCTGGTGTGGGCCCTGCTTGCTTCTATTTTACTTCATTCCTTCTGAGCCCCACCTTCCAGCATCTCCACTTCTAACTCCTCCTTGCCACCAGGACTACCTCCCTGTGTCTGGGGGAGGGTGTGAGCCCCCTAGATGCACTAATATCACTGTCTAGTCCTCGTCAGTGCTAACCCCACCTGCCCTCCCTCTAATGTAGACCCCTGGAAAGCAGGGACTGGGTCTTTCTTAGTTGCTGAATGCCTGGGATGTAGCGGGTACCTAATAATATTTCTTAAATAAGTGATTGAATGCTGTTTTCCATAAATCAAAAGAAACACTAATTTAACATTCCCTAAAGTGCATTCATCCCCAGAGATCTCAGATTTGTTTCTCGCTCATGATACTTATCTACCAATGATTGATTAGCTACAGCTTTCATCTGAGACCCAGGCAGAAGGAATGGAGGGAAGGGGAGAAAAAGTATGGTGAACCACTCCCTGGCTCTGAAAGCTGCTGCTCAGAGTGATTCTCCTCTGCTCACTCTTTATTGGCTAAAACGAGTCACACAGCCTTGTCTGAGCTGACCATTTGGAGCTAATCTTCCTGCAGAGTCTGCCACAGTTGTGACATAGCTATGACATAGATGTGATGACTCCCATTTTACAGCTGATTAAACTGAGTCTCCGACACATTAAGAAATTTACCAACATTCAAGAAGGTTGTAGGCAGCAATGCAAACTAGTGTGAAGGTCAGGGCCAGGTGTGGACAGATTGATGAGATGGGTCATGAGGGCATTTTGACTCTTTGGTCCTCAACGAGGAACCATGGGCACATTTGATAGTTTAAGCCATCTATTTTAAAGTTACACCATGCTTTGTCTTTAATCTCTTGGCAGGGAGGCTTCACACAGATTAAGTGCAACACGGACATTTTTATTGGCGGAGTCCCCAGCTATGATGACGTGAAGAAGAACTCGGGCATTCACAGACCATTTAGTGGGAGCATCCAGAAGGTAGGAACTTCTCTCTCCTGTTGACTGTGCCGCCCTGACTGCAGACAGTGGAGTTGAGGACTGTGGTTGGTGTGATCAGCTACACCCAGGAAAGACACTTTGAGGAAATGTTTAAATTTTGAAGGTTTTATTTTTTAACTCCCACAGAATAGCTTTCCAACCTTGGTTTCTCATAACTCTCCACCTGATTCTATGCCCAGCAGACATTCCATGAATGCCACTCAATGAACATGAATTTTTATAGCAAATCCATTAAAATATAGCATGTCCAAAAGTCACCATACATAGGCACAATGGAAAATTGTATCTAAATGTGCTTTTAGTCACAAAATATTCATTACAAAATTGTGCAGAATATTTACTAAATATCCCCTATGCATTTGGCCACATTTTTCTACACACACACAAATGAAGTCTTTTCTTCCCACCGATTGTAAACATATTCCAAAATAACCACTGTTACAGGATTTTTTTTTCCTATGTATGGTGACTTTTGGGACAGCCCGTATACTAAAGGGTGGCAGATGACATGAGGATGCTGTCACTGCAGACATTTGGACATTAGGAAGGAGCCCCATGGAAGCACATAACAACCCTGGGTCCTGGGTGTCTCTTTGGCATTACTTTGCAGTTTGCTCAGGATAAGGGCAAACTCTCCCCCCCATCTACACTCTGTAAGCGATTTTTATTCATATAACCAAGCTCTGAAGAGCACAGATTAAAGAGTCTTTTTCTAGAAGATTCAGGAAAAAACACTCAGTAAAAGGCACCTGCCCCCCTCCTATTCCCCTTCCCTAGGGCTGCTGGGATACCTCCCAGTCACGGACATGCTGTCTGCAGCAGGCCTGGCTCATGGCCACATCTGCAGGACCATCAAACACTGGCAGAAACAGGGTCTGAAGAAAAATTGTGTTAGCTTCACCTGTTTGCCATTAGCAACCAATGGTGGCATGTTGGCCTTCGATCCTTTTTGAACCTGATGAAATATGAGAGAGGCTGAGATGGAAGGATGGGAGGGAAAGGGGTCCTGCACAGTTCGCACCCCGGAAGCTGGAAGGGCCTAGAAAGCGTGACTCTCTCACCCCAAATGGCAGCATCAGGCCCAGTCTGCATTTGCTGACTCTTGTGTGTTTCCCTTTGTGGCTGAACTGTGATGTCAGGGGCATGTCATTTCATATCCTTCTTGAGTGGGATTGGTTGTGCTGTCTTGTGTTTGAAATTCTCACCTAGGAGAGAGCTGAGATGCCAAGATGGCTCCTGTGTGCCCACCCTTCTCAGGCTGTGCCCCCCTTTACTCTGCACACAGCCCTTCCCTCCTGTCCCCCTAGAAAGGCCACCCTCTCCTAAGTGATGGGCTGTGCTATGTCCTGCAGTGAATGGCACCATCCTTGGCTTGTGGCAACACCATCACTGATCTCATGGTCCCATCACTTGCAGTAAAGAGAGGGGAGATTGTAGGAGGCTTCTAGTTAACTCTCTCGCAGCTTCTCAGATTGAGAACTAAGGAGAAATGTTCTTCCAACTCTCCCAGTGCTCTCCAAAGGCCAGGCAAACCTTTGGAAACTGGGATTAGTGGTAGGAAGTGCCAGTCCTAACCTCTTATAAACCCCTGGGCAGTGGGGGCTCCCTGAGAGATTCTGCCTGTCTCCAAGTTCTGCGAAGCCAGCAACAGCTCAAAATAAATTCACGTTCTAAGTCAAGGGCTGAACATTGGGTCTGTTTATTTGGGGCCAGGGGACCCAGTAACAACTCCTCAGAATTCATCACTTTTGCCAGAGCCACGTTGCAGGGGAAGGAGGAAAGGAGCGCCCTGGTCTGGGGAAGTACACGCACAGCACAGCGGTGTTATGGATGTGGCCTGAGGTTCACTTCTTTTTTAGTGGTGGGGAAAGGGATGTGGAGAGTCAGGGAATTCAAGAATACTGGGGAAGGAGTATAGTGGGAGTGGGCAGGACATTGGGAGAGGCCTAGCTGATAGAATTTAGGAGATAACCCAAGAGCACTGGCCAGAGCACAGGGAAGTATACCGGGAAGGTCTCTGGAGCCCATAGCCACCAGAAGCCAGTGCTCTCCCTCCGGTTCCTGCCTCCACAGCTCCGGGTTTTGTGCTCACCCCAGTCTACTTTATAGTAGTTTCTCTCAACTGTGGCTGAACCTTCCCAGGTGATTCTTAGAAGCTTTTAAACTGAGTCCCACCTTCAGAGATTCTTGTTCAATTGGTCTAGGTGGGCATTAATATTCCTTAAGAGCACCCTGAGCGATTCTAATGTGCAGCGAAGTTGAAAACCCAAACTTTGTATTTCCTGGGACTTCTTTACGACCTTCCCAAGTGGCCAGTCTTCCAGAACCAGGGGAGTGCTTTATTCTGAGATTCTCCCAGATGTACCAAATGTAATCATTTTTGCTCCCGCATCATTTACAAAACCAAAAGTAGGAATTGGACCTAAAATATTTTAATCTCCCTGTGTGTAGCTCAGATGAGTACTGAGGCAAGTTCTAGAAAGACTACAAAGGTATTTCCTCAATTCCTGAATTTCTTTACATTTTTCTCTTCCTTCCAAGATCATCCTGAATGACCGAACCATCCACGTGAAGCATGACTTCACATCTGGCGTGAACGTGGAGAACGCAGCCCACCCCTGCGTGGGGGCCCCTTGCACCCACGGGGGCAGCTGCAGACCCAGGAAGGAGGGCTATGAATGCGACTGCCCCTTGGGCTTCGAGGGGCTTCACTGCCAGAAAGGTACACTCAGGGGGTTGTTTCCTGGAGGGAGTGGAGGGAACAGCCAGCCAGCCAGGAAGCCCTCACTATTCAAGAGTTGGTAACACCAATATAGCCATTAATCAAGTATTTTAGTAACTTATTAGATGATTAATTACATATAAACTACTTTAATTACTTAATAAGAATTAAATGCTGAAATACTTTTGTATAATAGATAAATAGGATCCCCACCCCTTTACCCTGACTCCTTCCCTGAGAGTCCCCTCATGGTTTAACCACCAAAAAGTTAACCCATAATATAGGAAGGTTTTCAGGACTTTTGCATCTGAGCCACTACCAGAGCCTATCCTGACAGGTGGATGATGCCTGGGCTTTATAAGCTGATAAATATTTCAATTATATAATTTTTGTTTCACAAATAGGACTTTTTGTCACTATTAAAAACCTGAAGTTTAAGTCAGTTCTTGGACCGGTGGTTCATGTCCATCAGCTCATTCAGTTTCAGCACCTGCGTCATCCCCAGTAGCTTTTTCAGAACTACTACCTTTACCATGAAGCTGCCCGAGTTTCCCCCCACCAATCCCTTGGGCTCCTTTCAACATTGGGCACCAACTTGGGCTCCTTTCAACATTGTGATTGTTCTCTCAAAGAGATCATGGAGGAGATAAATAGGCTGGCCCGTCTTTCCGTGTCTTCTCCAGTGCTGTCCAAAATCAATTTATGGACCATGTCTTTCAAGTCATGTGTCTGCACCTCTAGGTCATGATTTCCATCATCTTCCTCCAGAGTTGGTGGCCTATGGATGCTGAGCATAAGAGGTCTTCCATATCGGACTCCTTTTAGTAAAACCAAGCAGAGCAGATGAAGCAAACAACCATCAGTAGTCTGAACATCGGCAGGAGCTGTGGTCATGGTCTGCCATCCACAATCAAGATCCAGGCTCTGGGAGTTAGTCAGGCAGTGTTTACCCTGAACGTCCTCTTGTAATCATCTAGAATTTTCTAAGTACAACTTCATTGTTTTGCATATTTGCAGAGCTCACTTCAAACAGGACCCTGGAAACCATCCAAGGCAATCTTGGTGCCTTGAGTCCTGGTGACTAGTGTTTTTCCTTGAACATAGCAGTCGTTCTTACATGATTCCATTACTTTTTAGAAAATGGACCAACCTTTTCTGCAACCTTTCATCTTTTGTAAGATTCTTGTTCTTGCCAATTGCCATGGTGCTGCTCAGAGAGCCAAAAGAGCTTGACTAAATATTTTGACCCCATCTCTGAGTACTGTAAAGAGAAACCTTGCCCAAGTGCAGAAAAACACTAATTATGCATTAATTGCTCCAAGCTAAAGTGTACATAACCTTCGGTACAGTGCTGTTCTCCATGCTATCAAATCACCTGTACTTTAGTTCTCTCAACTGTAGAATGGGAGTAATAACAGCAATGTTATTGTGTATTTAACCCAGAGGGTTGTATATAGACTAAATAAGGCAATGCATATAAAGCATTTAAATACACAACCAATCAACCCATGCTAGTTATTGTTATTATTGCCAAGAAAAATAAAATCCAACAGCAGGTTCTGTGTGCTACTCAATTTCCATCCTGCCCTTACCTGAATGACAGGGCAGGTCATAGACCCTGGGTCCCTGCCCAACTCACTCTCTACTTAAGGCAAGCCTGTTAACCCGACATGTAGAATAATCTTGCCCACGTATGTTGTCATGTTGACCCACATGGAGCTATTTCCAATATCAATGTGGCCTTACCTTCCCGGAAATTAATAATATATATAAAAAAACTAAAAAAGCAAGGCAGTGCCTATGGCTCAAGGACTAGGGCACCAGGCCCGTATACCAGAGATGGTGGGTTGAAACCTGGCTCTGGCCAAAACTGCAAAAAGTAAATAAATAAAGCAAACAAGCTTGAAGAAAACAAGGCAGTGAGCCTGTGAAGTAATGTGCTCTTTTTCTCTTTCCTATTTGTTCCCAGCTTCCTGGTTTTTATCCGAAGTAGGGCTTAGAGGGAAACTATGACGTATGGGTAGACATTTGGCATAGGGAATGGTAGGAGAGGTTTTGCAGCAGTCTTAGAAAATGTTAAAGATGCTATTTGCTGATTAGAAGACTAAATAGTACCTGCTTCTTCTTTTTTTTTTTTTTGTAGCCGACAGAGTCTCACCTTCAGTAGGGTAGAGTGCCGTGGAGTCACACAGCTCACAGTAACCTCCAACTCCTGGCCTTAGGTGATTCTCTTGCCTCAGCCTCCCGAGTAGCTGGGACCATAGGTGCCCACCCAAGGCCCGGCTATTTTTTATTGTAGTTTGGCCGGGGCCAGGTTTGAACCTGCCACGCTCGGTACATGGGGTTGGCACCCTACCCACTGAGCCACAGCTGCCGCCCAGTACCTGCTTCTTATATTTAAATGAATTTTGACACCTACATGGCAAATCATGAAATATATATTTCAATAAGTGATCCATTTGTGAATTATCCTAATTAAACATCTAACAAGCAAATTGTTGTTTAGCAAATAGATTGTCCTTGCAGAGATTTAGTTGAAGAGTGGCACACTCTTTCAGAAAACTGGGTCTCGGAAAGCATCTGTGGTTCAGTGAGTAGGGTACTGGCCCCATATGCTGAGAGTGGCGGGTTCGAACCCGGCCATGGCCAAACTACAATAACAACAACAACAACAAAATAGCCGGGCATTGTGGCGGGCGCCTGTAGTCCTACCTACTCGGGAGGCTAAGGCAAGAGAATCACCTAAGCTCAAGAGCTGGAGGTTGCTGTGAGCTGCGACGCCATGGCACTCTACCAAGGACAACAACCTGAGACTCTGTCTCTAAAAAAAAAGAAAACTGGGTCTGGATTTCCCGTGTCAGTGTTTGAATGTCCCAAGTGTCCACTTTTACCACAGGCATTTAAGTATGCTCCTGCCTTCCAGTACCAATGGTCAGGACATGTATAAAGTCCAGACTTCCGTGAACATTTAGCTATGGAAAAAGGACAGGATAATTTGTGAACTTGTTAGCCCTTATTCCCTGCTGTACAGAACATTAGCTATAACAGACATAAAGGGTAACTATAGGTCCAGGTTCAATGAGAAACACATCTCACCAGAATGACGGGGCAGGTCCCAGTGAGGGCCTGGCCCTGACAAGATCTGAGGGGACTGACAGTAGCAGAGGGGACTGGGGGCTATTTGGACGTCTTCTTGTAAAGTATGTTATGACCAACACTGAAACCCAGATGAGCCAACAGCCGCCCTCCATGTTAAAATCAAGATGCTGCTTCTAGGAAGGTTTGTGTATGGCATGTAAGGCCTATATCCCATAATTTCCTCAGATGCTGTAATAACCAGAAATGTCTCATAGGGCTCTGGGACAATTTTTCCAAACTCCAGTGGGTACAGAATTGTCGGCAGTTATGATACAGATTCCTGTAATACAGGGGAAGTATCCAGCCCCATATGAGGACTGGAAAGGAAAGGGCAGTTGCATCATCCACAGACGTGCAAGAGAACACACTGAAAGTTTGGGTGAATTCTTAGCTGGAAAGACCTAAGATGGTTAGAAGCCATTCTTGGTTGTCAGAGAAAATCTTGTCTCATTCAGCAAGGTGATTCTTAGCCTCATTATTTCAAAGTTGAGGGGTTTTTTCTTCCTGCCTGGTAATCAAACCATATTTCAAAAGCAAGACCCTGTTCTGAATATTCCCCGCAGTGGGTTTACACAGTACTGAATGGCATAGCAATAACCAGCACCACACCTCAAGCCTCATACATTCCGTACCAGGGGCACCTTCTGCATGAGGAATTTGATTTTCTCCATCCTCAGTGAGTCTGGTTTCCTCTATCCTCCTCAGAGCATGGCTAGCAGACTGCACAAGGGCTGAAGGAGGAAGATTTGACTTGTTCTCACCATTTGGTGGCCCAGGAGGGCAGGGGACAGATGCTCAGACAAGTCCTGAAGTAGTTCCAGGCACTTAGACTACTGGAGTGTTTCAGGACCTCTCTTTTTCCCTGCGAGGTTGGAGGCGGGAGCCCGAGAGCCTGAGCCCAGACAGAGTGGGCATCGAGCTAGCCCTGAGCTGCCGAGAGGCTCTCAGGGTGCCACTGGTTCCTGGCAGCAGCAGCAGCCACAGAAAATGGAAAACCGAGCCTCTCTGTCTCAAGTTCAGGAGTCCAGAGGATCCAGAGGCTCTTCTAATCTCAGCCCTGACTTAAGGCACCAACAAAAAATCCTGAGGCTTGCCTTTGGTCATTCCATTCGGTCTTCCATTCAGGGGGTTTCGTTTTCAGGCATCTTCTCCCTCTGCAACTCAGCACCTCATGTGCCACCCCAATACCTAGGGCCTCTTCTCATCTCAACAAGGCCTCCCCCTTGAAACATTATTTCTGTCCTAAGAGATTTCTTTTCTCTTTTCTCTACTCGCATCACAATTGGCCCATCTTGTGCCCTAGTCCTACTGAACTCATGTTGAGTTACTGATGTGTTCTGGCAGTGCATGTAAGTGCATGTAAAAAAAGCAAGTTCTAGGGAATATTAATGGCTGCTTTGCATTCAGAGACAGAGAAACACATTCAGATACACAAAATAAGAGTGGGGTTCCAGGGTCAAATAAATTTGGATAATCCCTTTTTGCGGGACTTCTCAGAGCCTTTGCTGTGCTCTGAGTATCCATAAGGTGGATACAGGACATAGCTGTTTTCCCCAGGTTCTCCCAGCCAGTAGTGCACAGGTCACTTGGGAAAGAACTTCTGAGCTTGGTCCTCTCTTCCCTTCCCAGCATTACTGAGAACGGCTTGGACTCAGACGGTGCAGGACCCCACAGCCACTAGATGGGGGTGTTTCTCCATAGCAGATGGGCCGCTCAGCACACAGCAGATCCATAGCTGTGAGACAAAACTTAGGACAGGTACTCTCTAGGGGTGCACATTCCTGAAAGATCCAGTCTTGCCTGATCACTACTAATTTATCACACATGCAATATCTAGGGTATTTTATATTACATTTAGTAAATTCATATCATACTGCTGGGTCTTACATGGGAGAGTTTGTTTGTTTTTGTTTTTGTTTTGGTCCCAGTTGATTAAAAAAATCCCTTCCATATGGGCCCTACGATAAGAAAACAAATTAATGAAACATATAAACTCTTCTTACTATGAGAAATTTCTCTTTTCTTAGGTGTATCATTAAATGGTGTTTTGAAAACCTGGGAGTGTTTAGTCTAGATGTTGGTCTTTAGATAGTCAAAGGGGTAGCAGTATAAAAAAAGGTTTTGTTTATTTGGCTTTGCTTTTGCTTTTTGACTTTGTGGCTACAGAGTCAGCTTAGCATAATAAAGAATTCTGTAGCAAGTAGAATGGCCCAGAAAGGGAACATGCTGGCCTGTGTCTGAGTGAACTGCCCGTGGGGAAATAGTGTCTCCCTGGGGTGAGTGGCCACTGGCAAGGGTGCTGCCGAGGCAGGCCTGCTTGTTGGGAAAGCTCTTCATCTGTACCTGAAAGGCCCTTTGCTTTGCTAAGCTCCTGTGCGTGTGTGAAAGAGACATTTGTCCCTTCAGCTCTTTGCAGTCTACTGGGAATTCTAAGGCCTCCAAATGGAAAATTTGCCTTTCCTGGGCTTCTGGCTTAGAGACTGCAATTCACTGGGGTGTTTTCTTATGTCAGATGGTGCATACTTTTAGGTACAAAAGTGAAAGAGTGACAAGAACACATTTCAACTAATAAATCAGCAAGGCCATTGGCACAGAGAAAAAGATAGAAAAAAAGGAAGCATAAAGGTTAGGTTAAAATATAATCATGTTTACAATACTTAAATTACAAAGAGCCAGAAAGGGCTCAATGGCCACTTCCAGCTCTGATGTTCTTGGATGGGATTAATATTTGTCCATGTGTACTGACTTAAATGGAGTGTGTTTTTATTATTTTGCGCTCACAGTGTCATTTCTGGAGGGTACCCTTGCCCTTAGTTAATCACAAATAACTGAGCTCTGGAATCTTGCAAAGGGGGATGGGATGGGAATTAGAGTGACACTTTCCACTAGGGAAGGAGGCTTATCATTCCTTTCTCACACACGGTCTAGAGCCAGGAATAGTAATAATCAGTGACAAGGCAAGAAACTCCTTAGCAAGGAGCTATTTTCCAGGTTTAGAGGAAACCTGTCAGTTGAAGGTGCGGGAGCCTTAGAAGTGTCAGAGAATTTATGAACATCTTCTTAGCCCACACCACTCCCCACCGTCATCAAGCGTGCTGGTGGAGGGGAGATGTGGCTTGATGCCACTCGTACCCAGGAGAGATTGCCAGTGGCTACTCCTAGAGCTCTTAGTCACACGCCCTCAGCAGGGCTTCAAGAGCAAGAGAAGGCTGGTTTCAAATGATCTGTAGCAGGGAGAAAGTAGCAGGGATTTGACAATGACTGTGAAAGTCTGACTCTCCCCGTTCTCTTTCATGCTGGCACCGGGCAGAGTGTGGGAACTACTGCCTCAACAGTAAGTACAGTAAGTCCTGTGAGAGCCCGTGGAGAGCTCTGGGCTGGCACCAGGGCCTGCCAGCCACATGTGGGGGGAGATGGGGTGAGCGGGGTGGGAGCTGGACATGCCCGCGGTACTGGCATGAATCTTCATTCTCAGGGCCGGCCCTGAGAACACATATCTCCCAGTGCACATCTGAGAAAACAGGGAAAATCCTTAGCCTGGGGCCTAGCATATAATAAGCTCCTAATAATTATTATTATTCATGATTATTCTCTTTAACTCAGTCCATGAACAAGACACCTTTTAGGTGTTTTTTATAATTGCCATAAACTTAAGAGAGATGTGTGCTCAGGAGCGCCTGAGCCCCTGCACGGGGGGCTTAGCAGGCAGCTGTCCAGACTCACACTGACCTCTCCAGGGCTGTGTGTGCAGAACTGACGGGTGACAAGCACATCCTGACCACTTCAAGGAGTCCAGGGGAAAGGTGGCTATTGGCCTCAGGCTCACAGCCATGGCCAACACCAGCAATAACAAGCCCTGGCTGTACCTCTCATCCTGGGGGGCAGCCAAATCTGCCAACTTGGTTCTCGGAAGTTCAGGAGGGCCTCCTCCATAGCCAGGGTGGATCTTGTCTCCCTGTCCCTTCTCAGCGCTGGTGACCTGGCCCCACACCCGAGAGCTCCCTTGTCCCTCCATTTCTGCCCTCTTCCCCCGGCACTGGTATTCCCATTCCCATGCCCTGTCCATTCCCTCCTCTCTCTCGGCATCCCCGTCTTGGTTTTCTATTTCCCTGAGCTCGCCCTGCCTGTGGCTGCCCGTCTGGGGCTCCCCCTTTCCATGCCTCTCCCCCAGCTTCCTTGGCACTGACCCGGGTCCTCTCTTCGATGAAGCTTGTCCGTTCTGCTCACTCAGGTTCCCACGTAGCTCCTGTGCCCACCCTCTTGCCGTTTTGCAACCCGCTGTGTTTTCCTCTCTCCACTCCCTTGTTTTTCTCGTCTTTCTCCCACCTACGTCAGCCAGAAGGGAGCATGGCTGGGGACACGGCAGGACAACACGGTGAAACTCTGTCTCAAAAAAAGAGCCTTTCCCATCCATCCCCAACAGGTCCTCCAGGTCCAAGGCCCTTGCCCAGGGCTGTACCGCTTCAGAGACAGACCAGTTTTTTGGATGGTTGCCTCAGAAATTGTCTTTCAGATTTTTATTTCTCTTCCGTTGCTGGACTCGTGTTCTTTCCCTCCTTCCCTCCTCCCTTCTCTCCTTTCTGTTCTGTTTTGTTTATGAAAAGTTTTTAGGAACCTGCCAACCTAGGAACTTATACTTAAGGGTTTAATATCACTGAGTTTGCTATTATTTTCTCTTCTTTTTTTGTATTAAAAAAATAAGTTTATGAAAAATAAATAAGTAAAAGTTAAGTTTAAACTCTTCCCATGGCTCACAGCATCAAATAATGACACATTTCCTCTCCTGGGTGTAGAATCCTTAGTTCAGTGGCTTCTTTGCACTGGCCACATATTTTCTTGAAACTATAACTTGTCTTACAAGCTAGTTTCTGCTCTCTTAGTTTGCACATTTCTTTGAATATGAGATTTTATTCTGTCTTAATTTCTTTACACTGCCATTTCTGTACCTTTCCAAAGAGGAAAGAGCGAGAATGCTATTATTTCTCTAGCAGAAATCCTCCACCCTCATCCTCAATTAGGGACACCAAAGGCAGTGACTTAACCTATTCTTTTGCTAACTGTGTGTAAAAGGGTGACTCCTCAGGATATCACCTGAGGCAGAGTGCTAAGAGTTTGGGAGGAAGGGAGTACCAGTCTAAGATCCTGGAAAGTAAAAAGGGCACCGGTCAGGCTCATGGTCAGTTGCTCCCTTAGCCCTGTGACCTCAGACAAATCCTTGATGCTTCCACGCCTCACCTTCTTCTTCTGTGCGGTGGGAATGACCAGCCTTCACCTGCCCCTCACCTGCTCCCTCATGAGCGTGTGGTGAGGATCTTGTGGAACCCACTGGGAGGTGGTGATAAATGCAGAGGCCTCAGCCAGCAGCCTTTAGTCTCTTGAGGTCGTAGCTGAAGGGCCCTGGGGCAGATTAGTTTTAAATAAAGAATCCTAGTGGGCTTTGTTTAGAGATTTATTTCCTCTGTCTCCCTTAGAGAACATCTGGGGTTATCCCAGCTGCTCCCCACATGGCCCAAGACCTGCTCTTCGGCTTCCAAGAATAATTGGGAACAGTTCAAGTTTCAGCACATTTAAAGGCTTTCTCAGCAGTTGTTGAGGCCACTGATAGGGACAAGACTTCCCAGGGTGGGGAAAATGGGAAGAAGCCAACTCTAGGCCATCGGGCTGGGTCACTGGGCCTGGCCAAGTATGTGTGCAGCCGAGAGGATGAGGCTGACAAGTTGCTAAGTGTCATGTTTCCAGGAGCTGGCTTTCTTGGTGTTTTTCTGCCACATATATGAGTGCAGGGGTCAAAAGAGCCATGTACCATGTAACCTCGTTTTCTGTTCTGTCCCAGCAATCACAGAAGCCATTGAGATCCCACAGTTTATCGGCCGCAGTTACCTGACATATGACAATCCAGATATCCTCAAGAGGTAATGAGCTTCAACAGGCACCTTCCTTATCTTTCTGGGGGTAAACTTCTCAACATCTGTCCCAAGACTTTTTCTCATCTAGAGCTCCAAAAGATAATCCTCACGGAAGACTCCTTAACCACAGCCTCAGGGGGAAACATGTGCAGACACACAGACATGCATACATACTAGACAGAAACCAAACCAAACCAAATTCAGTTTGAAAAATCAGCTTTCCAAACCTTCATTAGAAGTGATCCAGTCTTTCTGGTCAAAGGGTTTGCAGGAGTAACATGATCAGCCCCAGGGTTTCCAATATTCAGGCTTTGAGAAGCAGGGAAAATCTGATGTTCCTGAAGCCAGGGTCATGAATGGGATTCCCTGAGCAGGGCAGTTATCATCATGCTATGCTGTGGCCATGGTCTTCAGCTCTGAAAGGGCCAGTAGCGGAAGGATTCAGCTGCTCCCTGAACCAGACAAACAGATCCCAGCCCATTTCCTGCCAGGTCAGTAGCTCCTTTGCATCTTCACCAGCAAAGGTCTGATGTCCTCAGGCTCTGACCAAGGAGGTGAGGGACCTCTCAGCTCTGTTCCTGTGGATATAAAAGCACAGCACAGTGAGACACCCCAGTCACAGCCATGGCTTTTCACCCCTGGTGGCAGAAGCTCCAGCCCTCCAGGGAGTCTTTTGCTTTGAAATAGCTTTTCGAATGGCAAGGGAGGAGGCTGGCCCTCAGCAAAATCCTCAGCAGTCAAGCTTGCCTTTGGTACCTTCAGTTGTTTCTTCTCTCTCCCCTAGTTCTTTATAGTTTACAGTATGCCATCTCCCTTTCTGCCCTCAGCGCAGTCATTCTAGAATTTTCCTTCCTATTCATGTAGATTGCATCTTAACACACTAAGGCAAATCTTTACGCTAAAGGCATCCAGCTCTTGGGGTAGAGTTTGGTGGCTTTTTAGGGAACCAAAGTAGCTAAGAGAAAATTTCCTGGGGCATTGGATGTCCTTGGTGACTCTGAACGCACACTGGACAGACATTGCTTCATTTTTTTAATCTGAGGGTGTATTTATCTAGGTTGTCTTGGTGTAAGGATTTAGGTGAAATGGATTCCCTGCCAGGAGAGCTCCTCTTCCCTCTTCCATCCTTTGTCTCCAGAGACAGAAGGTCATTTGGTCCGTGGACGCCAGTGACAACATGAAAGAGGCTCAAGTCTTTAACAAACTCTGATGCTTAGAAACCACTGGGCTGGTTTGAGGAATAGAAGGACTTGGTGAGAGGAGAAAGCTTGGGGCCTCAAACAAGAGCACCTCTGACAGTATGCCTGTGTTTACATGCATGTTGACGTATGTGTATGTGGATACACACATGTGTGAAGCTACAAGCAAAGTCAAGTTCAGAGTATTTCGTTTAGATGCCTTTGGTATCAAGTAACAGAAAATTTAGCTTAAAATGCTTAAACATGAAGAAAATTTATTCTTTTATATAATAAGGAGTGTAGATTTACACTGGATCTTGGGTTGGTTGATTCAGAGAAGCACCTGTATCTCAAAGACTTAAATCTCATCCATATTTCTGCCTTGTTATCCTCAGCAGACACTCCAGGGCCACTCCCAAGCTACCCTTAAGATACTCATAAGATAGCTGTAATATAAAACCAGGCAATACTCAGTGGATGTGAAAAATCCTTTTTGGGAAGCGGGGGGTGGGGGGGATGCCTGTGGCTCAGTGAGTAGGGCGCTGGCTCCATATACTGAGGGTGGCAGGTTCGAACCTGGCCCAGCCAAACTGCAACAAAAAAATAGCCAGGCGTTGTGGCAGGCACCTGTAGTCCCACCTACTTGGGAGGCTGAGGCAAGAGAATTGCCTAAGCCCAGGAGTTGGAGGTTGCTGTGAGCTGTGACACCACAGCACTCTACTGAGGGCAACAGAGTGAGATGCTGTCTCTAAAAAACAAAGAAAGAAAGAAAAGAAAAATCTTTTTTTTTTTTACATGATTCTTTTTAAAAGGTAAGGAATCTTTCCCAGAATCCTCTTTGTGAATTTCCTCTATCTCATTGGACAAAAATGGATCACATGTTCACTCCCAAACCCATCACTGGCCAGAGAAATGGGAACCTCTTGATCAACTTGTACAACCAATATACCCAGAGAAGGAGAAGGAAGGAATGCGGAGCCCAAGTTTGGGGACTGCAAGTTTCTAGGAAGCAGGCCGGGACTGGGCTGCTTTGCAGCCAGCCTGGTGGAGCTTGCTCCCCACTCCTCCCCCTAGGCCCTGCATGGGAAGGATGACTCGGTCTCCTCCTGACTACATCGGGACCTGGAACTGGGTGAAAGTCCCCTCCACTGTGCACTGTTGACTATGTTCCATAGCTGCAGACGTGGGTGTGTGGGGCAGACAGATGGTACAAGTGACAGAAGGATGGAAAACGACACCTGTCCAATAGTGTTGTATTAGTAGCAATATTATGTTTACTCCTATCTCACCTCTGAGTCAAGGACCTCAGGCTTGCTCTTTTCCTTTCCTCCGATGAAACACTACTCACGTTAGTGAGAATGGATTTCTGAACTAGTCTATTCCCCAAAATTGATCTGAACACATCAGTGTGTGATTCTATTCCCAGCTGTGGCTGTGGGCATGGAGCCCATCCTGCCTGAGCATCCCTCTTTTCCTTGAAGCTCCCTGTTCCTCTCCATCTTGGCTCTGCTCCAACACCCCTCTAGACCATTAACCCATCAGATCACCTTCCTGGCCTGAGACTTGCCCCCTGTGCAGTCTTGCCTATCTAGACCCTGCCCCCCAGGACAGTCACTGCCACAGCTGGCCATCCACAGTGATGATCATAGACCAGAGAGGCTGCTGATTTCAGCCTCTTGGTAATTGGGAAACACACTCACTGTTGAGCCATGGGGCCCTTGAGTAGTAGGAGAGGAAAGAGAGAAGAGTGAGGGATGCCAAGAGCTGCAGTGGGAGACTGTGTGGCATTGGCCATCGTCTTGCTAATCTGTGACTCAGCAAACGCTCTTTCATGAGGGCTCGCAGTGCATGGGGAGGGAGACTCTGCTGCCGAGAGAGCAGTGCAGACCTTTAGACCTGTGGTGTGACTTGTGGTGGTGAAGTAAGTGTCAGAAATGCCAGATAATCCTTACATCTGGTTGCTTGGGGCTGGCAGACAAAACTGGGAATACTTGGAAACAGATGTCGATGTTTGATTTGGTGGACTTGTTTGTGTATCTCCTCCAGGGTGTCAGGATCAAGATCAAATGTGTTCATGAGGTTTAAGACGACTGCCAAGGATGGCCTATTGCTGTGGAGGGGAGACAGCTCCATGAGACCCAACAGCGACTTCATTTCCTTGGGCCTTCGGGATGGAGCCCTGGTGTTCAGGTAACCCCTGCCTGGCTGCCATTTTCCTCAGACAGTGTAGATCTTGCCAAGCAGTTTTTCAAAAGTGAGCCAAAACACAGTCTGCTGAATAGGCTATGGCCTGAAGCCCCAGGCTTATGTGAGGCTCCTGGTCTTTCTTTCCAATGTTCACCTGCCAGGGCAGCAAACAGTGAACCCCAGCCTACAAGCCAAATCTGGCCCACCACATATTTTTGTAGACTAGGTTTTACTTGAAAACTGTCACCCTCGTTCATTTATGCATTGCATGTGATGGTGGCCACACTATAGGACTATACTTGAATAGCTTCAAAAGGAAACATATGACAAGGCCTGAAATCTGCTATCTAGCCCTTTACAGAGCAAGTCTAGTTGTTACTGCCATTTGCTCTGTACTCACAAATAGGAAGCAGTAGAAGGACTTTGATTCTGCCCAGCAGGGACAAGCATGGCAGCGGGGACTCAGCACAGCACTCTGCAGCTCTGGGAGATCTGAAGACCCCAGGACACCTGGCTCTAAGTTCTGGCTCTGCTCCTTGTTCACTTTTCTCTCCTTTGTCTGGTTGAATTCTAGTTAATTTCATGTCATTTAGAGATCATTTGCACTAGGCATCAGAGAGGGGATTAAAGAAGCAAAATATAGACGTAAAAGCCAAAAAAAAAAAAAAAGAAAAAAGAAATGCCTTCTCCACAGCACAGTCTAGAGACTGAGCAGGGATTCCCAGAGCTCAGAGGGCATCAGAATCACCAGGGGAAGTGGTCACCACACAGATTGCTGCCTGAGCCCCCTACAGTGTTTCTGGTTTTGCAGGTCTGGGTGGAGCCTCTGAATCGGCATTTCTAATACCTCCCCAGGTGATGCTGGTGCTGTGTAGCCTTGGAAAGGAGAATGTCACTTTGCAGTCTCCTGCTCCCAGAAGAAAAAAGCACAGATTTGTATCTCAGATAGATCAACCAACAATGGGATTGTTTGTTAAATATTTATTTGGTGACACTGACAGGGCAATCCTGGAAGTTCTCCCCTCTTTTAAGTGAATGAATTTAGACTTTTCTCAAATTTATCAACAGGTGTTTGTGAAGTAGTTGAGGAATTACTTGGAGAATTTCTCCTCACCCTCTGCTCCCCGGAATGGGTGAGAGCTGAGTTTCCAAGGTACAGGGACTGTTTTGTGTACATAGCATGAAAACACTTCTCTAAAGATTATAATGACACATCCTCCCTGAAGTTAGAAATCGCTTATCTAGACCAATGGTTTTCCAAGTATGGTCTCTAAACCAGCAGCCCAGCATCACCTGAGAACTTATTAGAAATGCAAATTCTCAGGGCAGCAATCCCTGTGGTGACCATGTCCCCAGGCCATTCTAATGCCTGCTGAGCTCTGAGAATCTCAGCTCAGTCTACCATTTGTTCCATGGGAGAGGCATTTTTTTTTTTTTTGGCTTTTACTTCTTTAATCCCCCTCTGCTGTCTAGAATAAGTGTTCACTAAATGATATGAAATTCATTGGAATTGAAATAGACAAAGAAGATATAACTGAATTATGGAAAAGATGATGACTTAATTCTAAGACTTCAGCTGGTCATGGGTCGTGTGCTGGGATTACTGACAGCTGGAGTAGGATAGCATAAATCTTTCAATCTGAATAAAAGGCATTTTGAGGGGAAATGTCACTTGCCCAATATCACACTTGTCCCTAAAAAGCACAGCATGCTAAATGACTCCATCCTATGATCACTAGGGACATTGGCGAGCCAAGTGTGGTTGAGGCTGGAGGCTGGCAGGTGAAAGGCATCTTCCTGCCACCTCCCCTCCCCCATTGCTCCCCCCATCTCATTGCCCCAGAGGTCAAACTCAGAGCTCTTCACACCCCCTTTCAGGCTGGCTGCCTTCAAGCCATTTTCTTGTGGTTTTCCTGTGGTTAACCTCGCCAAGGCCTCAAGTACTTGATTATGCCCAGAAAAGGGAACTGAAACAGTAGCTCAGCCGTGGGTGGGATGGCCTAACTTCCCCCTTAAACTACCAGCTGCAACCTTTTCATCACCCACGCCAGCCCTACAGGGAAACTGGGTCTGCTCAGGGCCACTACTCCAGCTGGCTTCTGCGCCCAGCCCGGAGGGACCCCTGCCCTCATCTGCCCACTTGGCACCCTTTAGACAGCTCTGCTCCATCCTGGACATATTTTTTATGTTACCAGTTCTTTCTCAGGTTTCTGAAAATTGGCTCTGTGTTTTTCTTCTAATCCTGGAGTTGCACTGCCGACCCCAGGCGGAGGCTGTCTTCTGTGCTTCCCTGGGCCTAGAGCCACACGGTCACAGCTCTGCTGTGTTCCTCCCATCTGGGCAGTGACTCCACCATGTCTGTTCACAAGATACAAATGAATTATAGTGTAGGCCAGTGGCTTGGAAATGTCAGCATACAGCAGGTCACCGGGGAACTTGTTTCAAAGGTAGCTTCCTGGGCTCCCAATCCCACCCCAGCAGAGATCTGATGGAATAGGTGTGCACGGGTACCAGGGTCTGACCGGAAATGAGCATCCCAGGGGTTCCATGAACCTGCTACAGGAAACAGGGTCTGAAATGACTTTGGAGTCAGACATGCCCGGTCCTCATGGCTGTGGGAGCTCGTGCAAGTTCCCTAACTCTCTGAGCCTCTGTCCTCTCCTCTGTAAAAGGAAAGGGTTGGCTGTCAAGATGAAATAAACTGATTCATGTCAAGGACTTAGTGCAGGGTCTGGCATAGTTAGTTATTAGTCATAATGATAAAAATAAAAATTATTGTCCTTGCTAGAGTGTTTTCAGGGTTTTATTAGCCTTTTCCTCAGAGAGATAAAATTTAGTTATTGGTGCAGTTTCGTTAGTATTGTTGTTATTGTTATTTTTAGTAAGGCACAGGCCCAACCCTGGGGGAGATTACATCAGAGAAACCTGAGAGAGAGTAAATCAGTCTACAGAGGGGACAAATCATTCTTGAGGTTTCAGTGTTAGATGCAGGCCCACAGCAAATAGAAGAGAGGAAGCTTAAGATAATAAAATTATAGTTTCAACTTTCTTGACTTTCTTTCTCCACCTAAGTGCTGGTTCTTTTGCTAATTTGGTGCCCAAAGCCCTTCCACGAAAGAAGGGGGAAGAGCAATGGAATTCTTTACAAAAAAAAAAAAAATGTAATCATAGTTTTAGTGCAAGATTGAGCAGGAAAAAAAGGAAATCAAAGTGCTCAAAGTGAGTGTGGTTTTCTAGGGTTTTGTGTGCATGTGTTTTGTTTTGTGATTACATGTGGGGCAGGAACCCTACCACCTGCTGGGTTTGTGAGCAGTCCTTCCTACTAATTTTCGCCTCATAACATTTTCATGCAACAGAGAAAGGGAAGAGATCTGACATTAGTAAAGTGCCCTGTGCTACTGGGGGACGTGACAAAAAGTGTCACCATGTGAAGGCTTAAAAGTGGCTGTGTGTTTTCTAAAAGGCCTCTCTGGTGGCACTTTGTGATGGCCCACGTTGGTGCATAACCTCATCATAGCCTTTAGAGCACACCCAGGTGAGTGGCCCGGAACAAGCCCTGCCTGGTAGCCAGTTTCCCCAGGCATCAGTAGAGGACCAGACATGTATCCATTCACTCGTTTGTGTCTACGTTTTTGTCCTGAGGCGTAACTACGTGAGGTGAGCTGTTGTTCAGGATGTAGCTTAGATACATTAACATCAAAGCACCACTGCCCAGAACATGATTATTGTAAAAAGGCATCCCCATCTTTCTTCCAGTGAAGGTAACCTCTATTTTCCTTCATGGATTATTCGATGAAGAGGACCTATTCCAGAGTGAGCATCAGAGTCTGGTGAAACAGAAGCCTCTTTGGAGGGAGGGTCTGAATCAGAGAGAGTGGAGGAGTCAGGCCATGCTGAAGCCCTCTGAGTTACCCACCCATAAGGACTCCCATCAGCAGGAAGCAGCATTAACTCCCTAGAGCACATTCTGGCTCTTTGCATCAACAGGAGAGTTATAAGGCTGGAGAAGAGAATAAGAAACCCACCCTTTGTCCAGACCAGAGAGAAGACAGCTGAAATGTTTTCATGCGCTGGGTTACAATCACCTTCAGTCCAGTGTCCTGGCTCTTCTGCCCAAATCACCTTAGATATGAGAGCTGTAAATACCTTTCCCACCTTGGGCTTACTCTCACAGGTGGCTACCCTTCCAGGGCAGCATCACTGCATTTAACCCTTGGTGGCAACTTTCTCCTCCCTCTAGTACCTGGGTTGCACTGTCTCCCCAATATAAACTGAGCCAAGTGCTGCAAGCACCTGCTGGGTGGGAGTGTTTGTTTGGCTCCTACCTACAGGGCCTTCTGCACTTATCTTACTTAACATTTCCTAAGGCCCTTCAAGGAGGGATTATCATCTGCATTTGACAGATCAGGAAATTTAGGCTCAGAGAGATAAAGCACATTGCCTGAGGTCACAGAGCTAATGAAATGGTGAGACCAGAGATCAAGGCAGGTCCTATAATCTGAGTGTCCACATTCTTTCTGTCTTCCCACAGTGCCTCTCTGAACAGTCACAGTTAGTAACTCAGCAAAGTGCCTGTCCAGGGGCAGCTAGTCTATTGCATTCAGTAAGCACTTGGCTACCAAATAATGAAAACTGAAAATTCCACCTCCAGGCTGTTCTACTCTTGATGTGGGAAAATTCACTAGAAAACAGTGGATTTTTCAGGGTCAGAGTGGCAGCTTTGTCCCAGAGTTTGTCAAGTCACCCCAGAGTCCTATTCTCGGTTAAATGTCAGTGGGTTGTGGGATTTCTTTGGGCCTCCATTATTAAGCCAGTGACCCCTGGTGCTTTCTCCAGGGAAAGCCAAGTACTTTCTATTCTTGCTCTTTTCTCAGAATCAGTGTATGGGAGAGCGCCTGGTAATAAATGTGGGTTTTCTCTCAATATGCCTATGTCTTGGGCAATGAGGTACAGGAGAGTCACCTCCTCTTACAAGATGAGGGGAGCATTATCCCAGGTGGAACATGTTTCTTCTCAAAAGCACGATTACGTAGGCTTCATTGTATTATGCAGGGAAGGTCTAGGCAGTTGGCCCAATGCCCAGGTTAGAGTAGTTCACTCACTAAATATTTGTTGAATTAAATTAAAGTAGAATAATTGAATGAACACTGGATTAAGAGGGATATTTCTCCCTGGTAAACAACATGTTCATGTTTTCACTGTTCCCTTAGGTATCAGGGAACTAAGAACTGAAATAAAAAATAGCAAGCTCTTAGGTGGACCTGACACTGGGTTGGCGGGGGGTGATGGGAGTTGAGGGCAGATAATACCCCAAGTTCAAGTTCTGCACATTAGCTTTGCGATGTTAGGCAAATTCCCTTAATCCCTCTGGGGCTCAGACTACTTTGCAGTGTTCCGTTGGGGTGTGTGTGTGTGTGTGTGTGTGTGTGTTTTAAATGGAAACACATGTATTAATTTCCTAGAGCTCTGGTAACAAATTATTAATACCTCAAATCGAATGGCTGAAACAACAGAAATTCACTCTCTCACAGTTCTGAAGGCTAGAAGTCCAAAATGCTGTGTGTCACGGAGTTGGTCCCGGGGGGTGGGGGGGGGGGGGGGGGGGCAGGAGGGTCTGAGGGAGAATCTGCTTCATGCCTCCCTCCCCCTCCCAGGTTCTGGTGGGTGCGGGAAGTCCTGGGTGTGCTTGGGCTTGTAACTGCATCTCTCCAGTCTCTGCCTTCTCCTTCACATGTCTCTCTGTCTGCCCAAATCTCTTCTTATATGGACCCCAGTCATATTGGATTCATGGCTGCCCTGATCCAGTAAGACCTCATGTTAACTCATTATATCCACAAAGACTGTTTTCAAGTAAGATCACGTTCTGATATTCTGCATACACATACATTTTGGAGGAACGCCATCCAACCCAGGATGACTTGTTACCGAGGATAGAGCCCTCCTTGTTTCGGTTGTTGTAGTACTGATGCTTCTGTATGTGGGGGCAAAAAAAAGCAACTTTGATGACATTATTCTAAAGTGAAATGAGCCAGTCACAAAAAATCAAAAATACTGTATGATTTCAATTATATGAGGTATCTTGAATAGTCAATCTGTGGAGACAGAAAGTAGAAGGGTGGTTAGAAGTAGAATCGTGGTTGTCAGGGGCTGGAGGGGGGAGGAATGGGTACAAGTTTCTCTTTTGCAAGAAGAAAAGAGTTCTGCAGATATTGAATGTATGTACCTAACACTCCTGACCCGTATGCCTACAAATGGCTGAGAGGGCAATGGTTATGTTAGGTATATTTTACCAGTTACATTTTTTTTTAATTTTTAATCAATCACAGGCTTAGAAACCAACCAACCATCTTTGATAACACTGTTTTGTTTTCTGTTAAGGAAACTGCATTCTGAGTTCCAAAGAACTTGGGCAACGAGGCTCATTTGTGAATGGTGCCTGCCTGTGCTCGAGGGTCTCATTCTGTTCTCTGTCTTGTTCTTCTCCAACGCCTTTAGCTATAACCTGGGCAGTGGCGTGGCATCCATCATGGTGAACGGCTCCTTCAACGATGGTCGGTGGCACAGAGTTAAGGCTGTTAGGTGAGTCCCAACCACAATTGTGCGCCAGAGCCAGTGCGAAGCAGTGATGGGATGTGGTGTCTGGTTTTCTTTTCTTTTTCTTTCTTTCTTTCTTTTTTTTTTTTTTTTTTTTAGAGACAGAGTCTCACTTTATCACCCTCGGTAGAGTGCTGTGGCATCACAGCTCACAGCCACCTCCAACTCCTGGGCTTAGGGAATCCTCTTGCCTCAGCCTCCCTAGTAGCTGGGACTACAGGCACCTGCCACAACACTCAGCTATTTTTTGTTGTTGCAGTTTGACCAGAGCCGGGTTTCGAACCTGCCACCCTGGGTATATGGGGCTGGCGCCCTACTCACTGAGCCACAGTGCCACCCAGTGCTCACTTTTCTTATAGTCCTATTGTCCTGCTCCTCGGCCTGTCTGGCATCCTTGCGCTCCTGACCCAGGACATTCAGGGCATTTCACTATCAACACCCACCTTACTCTCCACTAAGACAGATTAAGTCCCCAAGTCTTCACTGAACAGTAACCCTCTAGAGAAAAAAAAAACATCTGGTGACTAAACTGGAAGAGAGCCTTGATATCTAGTAAGATGAAATTTCAGGGTATGTGGACTTTGAAGAATGCTTCCAATCTTATTATACAGGCAATTGCCACTTAAAAAAAACATTATGTGAACTGAAGAAGCTGTATTTGGTTTGTAGAGTCTCAATTATTTATTTCCACAACACACTGAATCAATACACTGACTTCTGATTAACTTTGGGTGAATGGTTCCATTGCTCCTCTTTTTAGATTTACTACGTCTATCCATATTACTAGCAATATACTTTGAGAGACCAAATCATAGGCCTAAACTTAGAGATGTCAATACCACGTTAGATGATGGTCCCAGAAGATAAGTTGAACAGCAGAAGCTCTGCTCGAGTTTCCCCAAGAGTTTACCATAATCCTTTCTAGGGAAGTCAGTGGGTGGAGTCAGGAGAGAGGCCTGGGAAGCATGGGGCTCACCATGATCAGTTTCCTGCCCAGCTCACCATAGGCTGTCAAGGGAAGCACTTCTCTGGGCACCCTTCTCCTGTCCACTGTGCCTGCCTTTGAAGGCCTTTGAGGACACAGAGGCAGATCTGTGCCCGTCAGAGGCCCAGATGGACTAGACCCCCCTTTAAACAGATAATGATTTTGACAAAGCCCAACTCTCTTTTTGAAAAAGATATGTTCTTCCATAATGAACATTTACATGTTTGAATTTTAAATATGTTCTATAACATAAGTCAAAATGCACAGAATCCAGCCTAGCTCTAGTCCAGGAACTGGATAGGTGGGAGTATTCAGCAGATACTGTGAGTTATGAGAAGACAGAAGGGATGCTGAAAGGGATGGTACAACGGATCTCAGTGGGAACTTACTCAAGGCATGGAGTCAACTGTGACAAGAAGGATTGGGTGGATATTTATCCCTTGTAGCAGGCTCCGAGACGGGGATCAGTGAAGAGGACATGCCGAAGCAGAGCCTTGCTTTGTGCTCTGTCTTGCTCTGGGTAACCCTGGCCTTGCAGGCGTTAATCCCAGACATCTCCAGGTACCAGGCCCTTCACGTACTTTAGCTCAGTGTGCATATTCACAGAACTGAGGTTTCTTTTTCTTTCTTTCTTTTATTTTTTTAAGAGACATTTTATTGCCCTTGGTAGAGTGCTGTGGCATCATAGCTCACAGCAACCTCCAACTCCTATGCTTAGGCAATTCTCTTGCTTTAGCCTCCCAAGTAGCTGGGATTACAGGAGCCCACCACAATGCCCGGCTATTTTTTGTTGCAGTTTGGCCAAGGCCGGGTTTGAACCCACCACCCTCGGTATATGGGGCCGGTGCCCTACCCACTGAGCTACAGGTGCCACCCTAATTATCTTAATTTTATGGATAAACATGATGGTATGCCTATGATTATGGTCTGTGCTCCCCATGTCTCATCTCCATGATAGTCTTAGAATAGTGGTTCTCAACCTTCCTAAAGCCGTGATGTATTTTCATTGTTACCAAGGGATCGTGACCCATAAGTTGAGAACCGCTGTCTTAGAAGATGGGCATAATTATTCCCATTTCAGATGAGCACGCTGAAGTTCCATGGATTCACTCATTTACTATTATGAGCCTTATATTATTCCAGACATAGGAAATACATCATTAAATAAAACTGAGATCCTCACCTGATGGTCTTGCATTCTAACTGGGCAATAGACAATAAGCAATAAATATGATAAAGTACTTCATCTATTATGTTACAAGGTAATATTACATATTTTTTAAGTCTATGATGCCATTGGTTACAAGGCATATTTTCACTTCAGAAATATAAAAAATGAAAAATTCTTAGAATTTATGAAGTGTAGTAAGTTAAAAAAAATGGAATATTTTAGAGTAATTTTCAAAAAAAGAAAAAGCAGGGTGAGGCAAAGCTGTTGGGGGCATTACCTGTCACTCGGGTATGAAATCCTACGAAATCACTTCCAAAATGGAGTCTGTGGTCTCGAGCTGGGGACAGAACAGGAGAAAGTTCACTGGGGCTCAGCAGGCCTGGACTCAGACCCCCCCCCCCCTATAAAAGCAAATGTATTTACCTGAAGAAGGTTCGTGGGGCTGGACTGGTTTGCAAACCAGCTTAGAAAACTGCAAAGCCCTTGCCCCAGATGAACATTTCCTCTGTCAGAATCACTTTGGGGCTCTGCGGTCCCTTAGAGACTTCTAAGCCACCCTTCTTCCTCTATTAGAATAAACTTCTACAAACAAAACTGTTTCATTGGCTTCTCCATGTGGTTAGAAGAATATCTGAGCCTCTCACAGCTCCCCACACACCCTGCCTGAAAGTGCCTCCCTGGCTCCCTTTCACACCCAGAGTAAATCCTAACCTCCTTACAAGTTCTCACCGTCCACCCCTGAGCTTCTGTAACCCTCCTTGGTCACTCATCTACCCTTACGAGCCCTGTAGACGCAGCTGTGGCAAGGACTCGCTGGGCATTTCTAAGCTTCCTCCCTTTGCCATTGCTGCTGCCTCTGCTTCAGCTTCCCTTCTCCTTCACCCACCTTGCTCGCCCTTCAAAAACCATCCCGGGAAGAATTTCTCCTGAGAAGCTGTCCCTGCCCCTCTCTGCAGTAACCGCCCCCTCCCTGGTCCAGCTCCAGTGCTCCTTCTGGGTGACCCTCCAGCAGCTGGGCCTTCTCCCGTGGAATGATGGCTGTGTTGTCATTCCCAGCTTGGTGTTTTGACTTCCTTAATAGACCGTAAACTCCGGGCCAGGAACCTGGGGAACTGTTTTTGGTTTGGCTTCTAGTTTTTGCAGTCCCATCATTTAGCACAGTATCCAGCACACGGTGGGTGGTTTAATACATTTTTATTGAGATGGATGCATACGTAAATGTGCTCCAAAAATGGTGGAGCTTTTTCTTGTCATGGGGGGTGTTGTTTTCAGGGATGGCCAATCAGGAAAGATAACTGTGGATGACTACGGGGCGAGAACTGGCAAATCACCAGGCATGATGAGGCAGCTGAACCTCAGTGGAGCTCTGTATGTGGGTAAGTGACCTCGACCAGATCTGAGTCAGGCCAGTGCCTGCCTTGGTAGTCCTCTGTGTGCACTTCACTGGGCCAAATACCTGGAAATTGGAACGCTCTCCAGATATCCCATCGTCCCATTTTCTGAACTTCTGACTCATAGCCGAGGGGACAGGAAAGGACTCATTCAGCTCTTTTGTGCGATGGGCCAATCCACCAGGAAAACCCTGATTTGCTTGTTTGTAGAACAGGAACCTGCTAAATATAGCTCCATGAATACTCTCTGAGGAAGGAGCATCTGCCTTTCTGGACCCTCTCAGAATGGAATGAATAGTATTTCTGTAAATGGCTTATAATCTATTAACACAGACGCGTGAAAGTGAAAAGCTGGCGCTCTCCATATAGTATTTTCTAGAAGTGAATTTAATTGAAAGCATTCAACATCAGTGTATGGCTTCTGGTTTGAGACGACACCAGCTCTAATGACACACTGCATTTTGTTGTCATGCTATAACCTTTCAAAATTTACTAGATAGTATTTGGTCTCAAGGTGGTCAGCTGGGTCAGAAATCACATGTGAGGTATATATTTATAGGCTTCAGTTGTGTACCACATTGGTCCAAGTCAGCTTGTTCCTTCAAGGATTTTATCTATAATGATAAAATAGATAGAGGTGCTGAACAGTTCAGGGGACCATAGTCCCTAGTTAGCCTGTCCATCAAGAGACCCTTTGCTCAGTAGACACTCAGGTGCTCCGCAGAAGAGCCCAGCTCCCCATGCTAACACCCGGTCTTGCTTCCCGGCAGGTGGAATGAAGGAAATTGCCCTGCACACTAACAGGCAGTACATGCGAGGCCTTGTGGGCTGCATCTCTCACTTCACCCTGTCCACTGATTACCACATTTCCCTCGTGGAAGATGCTGTGGATGGGAAAAACATCAACACTTGTGGAGCCAAGTAACACCAGCTGGCCTTGCCCAAGGGACAGAGCTTTCTATCCTGAGAACCCCGGGGGCCCCAGGCCCACCTGATGCCGTACACAGAGGCCCAGGAACCAGGTGTGTTTCCTCTCATCAAGAAGAAAGTGCACCCTGCTGAGAAGCTGAGAACCTGGGTGGCCTTTCCTGCTGACACTCCATGGGCCTAACCCAGCAGAATACTCTGTGTAGGAAGCATCAGACTTTGTCCATTGAATGAGTAGTGGCTGCCAGAGGTCACACATCAATGTGAATTCCAGAGCCTGTCTACTCTAGCTGGAGGATCTCGATGATTGTGTTGTGATTCATAGTGCTTTAAAAAAGGGGGGGGCGGGTAGAAAAAGAAACCCACAAGGCAGTATTAAAATACTCCTCTCCTTCTCTGACTCATGACACTTTTACTGACATTAGAACGACTGTGTGACCATGAACTTCAAATTTCCCACCTTGGCCCAGGGATTGTTTGGCTTGACCCCTCCTACTCCTCACTGGCTGGCTCCATGTGCTCTGAATATTCAGTGAAAATAAAGATGGAGGGAGACTAAACATAGACTCATAATCATAATGTGGCCCCCTCCCCAAGGGTTACCTTGAATGTGAAATCTTACTTTTTATATTGCAAATTTAAGAAAATGACCCCCACAATTTTATGCCTATACTTTTGTATGTCTATATTTTTATAGCTGCACTGTACTTCTGGAAGTTCAGGTAGATGACCCTGAATTCTTGCACACTTTTGAAAATTTTTTTAAAAGGAGACTTGTTTGGGCCCTCTGTGGTATGAGTGGAGTGGGATTGGTAACTAGAGTGGACAACATGGGGAGCAGACCATTCTCTTTCAGTAAATGTTGATGGTTCAAGGGGTTGAATATGAAGCCTTCCAAAATAAGCAGATTAAAAGGAACATGTGTGACGGAGGTAGGTCATTGTCATTCTTGTTTTTAGAGGGGGGCAATATTTGCAGTAAATGTGAATATAGGGATGAAGAAGACTAGAACTCATCCATTCATCCCTTCATTCATGAAGTGTTACTGATTCTGCAGAGGCCATGTCCATACGAGTACACACTAATACACTCAATGTTTCTTAGGCTGTGCAGGGGGTGGAGGGACATGTCCTCAGCATGTCTGAGCTGGGCAAGAACCAGAGAAACAGGACTCTTTCCTTCTGTACCATCAGATGTGCCCTTTGCTATTCACCCCTGTGACCCCGAGGACAGCTGTCTCACTGGGAGATCCCTGAGACAGGACTTGATAAGGGAAAGGTGAGATGAATGCTCTGTCCCCCAAAGAGGAGAAAATATGATCGACCTCACACAAGAGCCTGTAATTAGTCCCCATCATGACTCAGCTCTAGTTTGTGCTGTATTCTTTCAGCAAAGACTTGAAGCTTGTGCAAAGCACAGTTGTAAGCACATTGAACATTGTTAAAGGTGAATGGGGAGGCTGACCTTGTGCCCCAATCTCCTAATTTATATCTTTGGGAACCTTTAATGACCAGGATCTTTCCTACCAGAGGAATCATGGTAACAATGGCATCAATAATCAGCTGCCTCCTCTTATGCACCTCATCTTGTAAGTGCAACCCAAAGAAAGGCCACATGGTAGGAAGTGAGTCCTACCACTTCCCAGACTCATCTCAACACCTGTTCCTGTGATGCTCCCAGCCAGAGCATCCCAAGAAATAAAGGATTTGTCTTTACAGCACATCTTGAATGGATTGCTTCCAGCCAAAACAATCATTGTGATTTTAGCAAAATATTCAGCTGAGTCAAAGCCAGAAGAGCTTCAGCTTGCAGATGAATTGTTGTCCCATGGAAGTGTTATCCAGAGAAAAATGCAGTGGCCCATGGATGAGGGCTTGGGAGACTGTAGAACAGAAGAGCATTCAGAACTGCCTGCACCTGGGTGGGAGGTCTGGGGGTGACGTGGTTGATAGAAGGGACATGGCAGGTGAAAGGCAGCAGAAGAGGGACCCAAGAAGATCTGAGGAGGCAGCAGAAGAGGGACCCAAGAAGATCTGATGACCTGGTGGGTGGGCAGGGTAGGAAACAGTCTCTCGCAGGTGGGCACATGGGTGTTCCTGCTTTCTCTATTGTCTATTGTCTCAATAATGCTGTATAACAATCAATCACAAAACCTCAGCATCCTGCAGCAGTAAGTGTTTATTGTTCAAGTGCCTTGAGTGGTCAGTTTGGCATCTCTGCTGATCTTGCCTGGGTGGTTCTTTTGGTCTGGGTTGGACTTGCTCAAATGTGTAGGGGTTGCTAATTTAAGACAGCTTGGCTGGGATGGTGAGGAGGCTGGAATCTGCTGTGTACGCCTCTCATCTTCCTCCTGGGCCCAGTGGGCTGGCCTGAGCATTGACTGCATAGGATGGAACTGCCCATGGCCCTCCAGCCACATCCTAATAGTCTGTAGATTCAAAGATGAAGAAATGGGCTGGATGTCCACATCTCAGTGGTTAGGGCACCAGCCACATGCACCACTATGACAATAACAACAAAATAGGTGGGTGTTGTGGCAGGCACCTGTAGTCCTAGCTACTGGAGTTTGAGGTTGCTGTGAGGTGTGACGCATGGCACTCTACCAAGGGCAACATTGTGAGACTCTGTCTCAAAAAAAAGAAAAAAAGAGATGAAGAAATTGTGTCTACCCCCATAATAAGAGAACTGTTAAGTCACCTGGCAATGGGAAAAAATTAGGGCCATTGATGCCATTGATTCACTGCAGCAAGTCAGATATTGTTAAAAGTGATACCACAGAGATATGGCGGCAGCAGGCCTCCACCTGAGCTATTGGGGCAGGGGACCAGGCCTGCAGTACTCTAAGGGACTGGCCAGGCCAGGCTCCTGGGAGCAGCATTTGCCCTCCCCAGCCCTGTCCTTCCACCTGTTGCCTGACACTCATTCTAGAGAGGAAGGGAGGACTGCAAGGTGGGATCCACCTGGTTTTGGGGCGGCCACTATGGGGAGAAGAACGTCTGTTGGAAAAGGCTGGCCTGGCTCTCAGCAGGAGAGAAGGTTTCAGGGAGAAGCTGGGGAGCTCAGAGGTTAATACAATCCCTGAAGGATGCAGAGAGGCATTGGTTCCTGAAAAGCCTTTGTCCCATAATCAGGATCAGAGAAAATTCCTCAGAGCTCCCCACAGGTTCTAAGCAAGGGTGACTGGGGGTGGGGCAAGAATGTTCTTGCTTTTCCTTTTAAAACCAACTTTCACAACCCTGTAGGTTTCTTCCAGGCCCAACTGCTGGGGTTTCTCTCAGAAAGGTCTGTGGAGTCTTCTTTGTCCCCAGAAACCGGGGAGTTGGCGGCGGCCTGCACAGACACCCCCACTCTGAAGGGCTGCCCTGGCCTCCCTCCCTGTGTTTGCCTTTCATTTCCTGACCCAGTCCTGTTCCAGTCCAGGGCCTTCCAACACAAACAGGCCGGCTAGTTTCCACACTGGGACTGCCCTGGTCACACAGTAACTGGCGCTTTCCTTCCGACTTTCCTCCTCTCCTTCCCTCCACCGCCCACTCCCTCTTTCCCCCTTAGAGGGAGCTGCCTCCGCCCTGAGTGGGAGGCAAGATCTCGGAAATGTGCCCGGAGCTGGAGCTTGGAGCTGGAGCTGGCAGGCCCAGCACTTTCCACTTGGAGGAAATGCTGCATTTTTCACCTTTAACCCAGAAAAATATGGTTCTCAGAAAGCTTGTTTTTAGCACTGTGAGTTCCCAAAGGAAGGATAGGGAGCAGCAGAGGCCCCAGCCCCTCCTAGAGTTCTGACAGCTACTGCCCCACCCCCACCCGAGACTGTTCTTCCTGGGAGGGAATCACCCAGGGGCAGCCTGCCCAGGCCCAGCCTGGAATTCCTGCTTCCAATGGAAAGGCAGCACCTTAGGAGATGGGCCTGGACAAAGCATCAACACTTGCCATTCCCCGCCCAGCCCTGGGAAGGCTGAGTTGCCGCCCTGGAAGATGGAGGTGGACATGCCACTCACACCCTTAGCTGAGAAGGGTGTAAGATGAGCTTATCAAAGGTGGGAAAGTTCTCCAGGACTTTCTCCCTGAAGGAGCCCAGTGGAGAGAGCTGCCAGCATGAAATCAGTATCAGAATCTAATATCAGGCATCTGTGTAGCCTCAGCCCTCTCCCACGCAGTCATTTCTCAGCTTAGACATGTGGGTCACTCAACTGCATCAGAACTGTGTATTTACGCACCGCACACGAGACAAAGAAGGGAAATAGGAGTGCCCCTGCCTCAGCCATCACGTGGCACAAAGAGCCAGTGCTGAAGATATTCAGGGTGGTGGGTCTCTGTGGAAGTGACGGGCTTCCTGAAAGTGACAGGCTGCTGGTAGGAAGTCCCAGGTTACAGGTGGCTATGTTCAGGCCAGCAAATGACTAATCCAATTCTATAGCATGAACTGGCTTCTGAGTAATTGCATCTCAGCCTCACTCTCAAAGAATGTTCATGTTGATCTTAATAACAGTCCTATGATGGCCAGAGCAGGTGGGCGTGGCCTGTTGGACCAGGGGAGACAGAAGCTCCTGGCCAGGGAGGCTTGGTGACTTGCTTGTGGTCCCACTCTGAGGACACAACCACGATGGCGCCCTCTGAGCCTTTCCTGCCCCCCTACCCTGACCTTCAGTCAGGTGCAGCTGGCTGGCCCAAGGACTCCAGTTGACTAAGTAGCATTCTGGGCCTTCCTCTGGTTAGCCGTTCTTGGCAGTAAGTCCCGTGGGTAAGGGGGATTTGGGCAGAGGCCAGGCCCCAAGTGTTTGCTTGCCAGTTCCTCATCTCAGCTCTGAGTCTGCCGCCTTCCAGAGCCCTTCTATTGCAAAGACTCTGGGTTGAGCAAATCTGACAGCAGAAACCAGAGCTACTCAGGCAAGAGTGGGATTCAGGCCCCTCTGTAGGCAATTAGGTGTGAGTCGAGTTCTTTTTCCTTCCCTACTTTGCCTTCATCTCCACAAATAACCTCCACAACTCAGGGGAGTTGCTGCAAACTATTTCTGTGGTGCATTGCTCTCCCCTGGGCCCCTGCCTCGCCCTGGCCAAGCCAGGAGCTGCAGGAGCAGGGCAGGGAGCCGGGAATGCCCTCCCCTGCCGCTCTTCTTCTTCCTGCTTGCTCTTGCTAAGGCATCTTTGTCCTAGAAAGTGTGTGGCTCCCAGGAGCGCTTGCCTTTTCCTGGAAAGATGTCAGAGGAACATTATGTCTCAGCATTTGGTGGGGGGGAGGTCTCTGCTTGCCCATTTACCCATCTTGTCTCTCTGTTTGGCTCCAGATCCAAATGGCATGCAAAGGCACAGAAACGTCCCAGAACGTGGCCTGGGGTATGCCTCCTTGGACAGCCTGGCACTAAGGGGCTGTAGCTCTGACTTGGCTAAGGGAGGACTTGGATTAGAATGTCTCTGCAAAGGAAGGCCAGGAAGGCTCAAGGAATTTGCCTTTATACTCATGTAATAACAAAAGTAAGAGGCTTCGGGCCAGGGGATTAGCTAAGGAAAGCCCTGTTAGGAAACTGGCCGAAGGAAAGCAAAGATAGGGAAATGGTTATCAG